GGTTAAACTCCAGGCTATATACTGTTCAAAGGTTTGGGGTCAGTACGATTTTATATATATATATATATATATATATATATATGTATATAGAGAGAGAGAGATTTTTTTTTTTTTAAATATTCAGTAAGAATGTAGCCTATTAAATTGATCAAAAGTTACAGCAAAGACTTTTACACTGTTTTAAAAGTCCATTTCAAATGAATGGTGTTCTTTTGAATTTTCAAAGAATACAGAAAAATATTGGGCAGCAGAACAATGGGTCTCATTCACTAAGCATGCGTACAAATTTGTGCGCGAGATGTACGAACTAAAGACTTTTAGAACAAATCACGATTCACCAAAAATTTCATAATACATTTTATTCAAAGTTTACAAAAAAACATATAATCATCAAGTAGTAATATATATACCAGTATCTGTTTTTGTTGCATAAATGCAGCTTTGGGGATGAAAAATCATCGACCCAACCTTTTAAATGAAAGTGTGAGTAACTAAGCCATTTGCAGGTTGATTTCCAGAAATGAGTATTAACTCTGTGGTTCTATCACACCATCCCAAGTTCCACTCCCAACACAGCAATTTTGTTTCAACCAATGGCGTGAGATTGGGTCGGGACTACCTGTGTAGTCGACCAATGTCAGATGGGGGAGTGTTCTGAAAAATGATTTTTGCATAAGTATTTTCCAGTTTAGGGACGCTATAAAGAAGCCTTTGAACATCAAAGACATTATCTACAGAATATAGAAAGGATGAACTTCAAGCCAAACCTCAAAATATACGGCAAAAGAATTCCACCTGCTTAAAAAAAAGGTATTAGAGATGAAAGCAACTGGTGTGAATATGACAAAAAAAAGCAATGCAATCTCCAGTCGGCAGAGGAGAAGAGGTCACTTTATGTCTGGGCATCTTTTCTAAAGCACAGGTGCTAGCTATCTTTGATTGACAGCCCACAGATTACACTGTTTGAGCTCTATATCAGCAGGTGTAAATGGGCCAGGGTGAGTTAAATACGTGTATTGGAGTGGACTGGCACCAGGACCGGGAAAGATGACTGAAGACGAATGAGAGGACGATCGAATCCACCACAAAATGCTATTTAAAGAGAATGTCAGTAAACTATTGCACTCACTTGAGATAGTTACTGAAAAATGTAAGGGGGAGTAAATAATGGCAGTATTTACATTTTATGTGAACTATCCCTTTAAAAATGCTTGCCAACTTTACACCCAGTAAAATATACGCTGGCAAGATATTCAGTGAGAGTGCTAATAATAATTTCCGCCTCATTGCTTTGATGCACACACATTTTGAAAGCACATTTTATGAGTCTAAGCTGGTTTCCAATGACCTGCTGCATGTTTCCTTTGGACTGTCATGGAAAGTGACAGTGTTGTCTAATTCGAGGACTAAAATATGGCCTAAGAAATGGAAGCAGCAGCTGGTTATCACGAAAATGTCACACCAGACACCAAAGCAGGGTCATACAAACTGACAGTTTAAAACAGCAAAAAAAGGTTCTTGTATGCAATTCATAGATAAATGAAGGACGTCACAAAACTATAAAAGGTATGCTTTTATCTGAAGATCCATTTATACTCTGTAAGAATGATATTATGGGGACAATAATTGTTTCAAAATGAAATCATAATTGAATGTAAATGATATCGTAAAAAATAAACCGTAAATTTTACGGTAAAAAAAACGGCAGCTCTGGTTGCCAGAGCTTTACCGTTAAAATTACGGTAGGAACGTTAATGGTTTTACAGATTTAACTTAAAATTTACAGTAATAAACCGTAATTTATTTTCTGATAAAATGTGGAATTACCAACTTATTGATGAATTGATATCTATTTTAGACCATTGTAATACACTGACAACCAACAATCATCACAGCAGTGATGAGAGTTACATGAGCAATCACATTCACAGCTCATCACAAGTGAATAATTGTATAAAGCAATACTTAATTAAAGAAGCTGCACAATGTCATTCACACAAACATTAAGCACCATCATGGTAACACACATGAAATAAAAAAAAATGCAATAAACATTAATTTAACAACATTAAATGTAACATATAACCCTAATGTACATAACTGATTAGAAAAAAAAACAATAAAACTATGAGGAACCATAGTTATTTCAACAAAAATACATAAAATGTGAAGTGTCACACAGGGAATTGTGGGAATGTCCATTTACGGTTTTTCACTGTAAATTATACTATGATTTGTTCTTTTTCACTTTCAAAAACTGTAAATTTAATGGTATTTTACTGTAAAATTATATCACAGTTATTTACCGTGTATAGTACGGAAACTTTCTGTTTACCAATTAACAGTTTTGCACTGTAGCATTTTTACAGTATTTTACCGTTAAAATCACGGTTATTTTTTACAGTATATCAGTGGCGAATGGGGGCTTCTTTAATTGGGTATGGGTAGCGCGTCATGTCAAAAAATGTGCCCGGTGTAGCTATGCTGGATGGGTTTATAGTAAGCGAGAAAAGTTTGCTCTAGACAGTGTTACATACTCAGTTGCTTACTCTCATATGACACACAGCAACACAGCTAAAAGTATTTCTAATATGTTGGACCTTTTATTGAAAAAAGCCTACATTTACCCATTGAGACAGCACACACACCGGAGAGCTGTGATAGTGTTGTTTGAGTTGAGGGAGGTGCAACGTACGTGTGGAAGGGGAATTTGCTAAATATGCTATGAAATTGCTATGATTTAGCGTTTTTAGTCTTGAATCAAATACAATGTGATTTTCAACGTTTGGGATCTGGCAGCAACACCACATTTTTTCCGTTTGGGCGAGCGATTTATGGACCGCTTTCCATGATCATGAAATCCCCCATATGGTCGCAAACCAATGAGAATGCTGGACAATGATGACGATACATAACTACAGAGTGAAGGCGCCAACCCTGCTGTGCATCCGTGTCCCCAAAACCCGCAGTAACTGACAGATCTGAAGAAAAATGACCGTAGTTTGGTAAATGAATAAATGATGGATAGTTGCATATGTACCAACATTTTATCATTTCAACTTTTTTGATGCAACTCAAACAAGATTATAGTAGAGTTAATTCGCAAGTCCTCAAATGGCTTGGGTATGCAGAGCATTCGCAGCTTATATGGACTGCAACCCCCATATCTGTATATACAGTATATATATTAATATAGTACTTCATAAAGTTATTTATGTACTCCATCAAAAGTAAATGATCAAAATATTACCTGTGCAAAAAATATATTAATGTTTATAAACAATTACATTTAATTTTAGCCTATTGGTTTATACATTTAAAAACAGTTATGCGCAAATAGTTTAACGCAAACTGTACGTTGTGTTCTGAAAGGCTTAATATCTGTCAATAGCAAAATTCTTGACTCGTATGGCTCCCCTCCCTTCTTCATTTCAAGTCTAAGACTATTTAGATTACAAAACATTGTTTAGTCTGAAACTATTTAGACAAAACATTGTTCAGTCTGATAAAGCAGTTTGAGGTGTTTTCATAACACAAAGCAGTATTAGGCGAGTTACGTGCCAAAGATTAATACTTAGGGTTAGGAATTCATCCAAACCCTAAGCATGAGCAATAGCCTAGTAATAGTGATGCTAGTCTTAGCAATTAGTGCTAATTACTGTAATCAGGAAATTGTAATTGCAAATTAGACCCTTTCTCATTCATCTTTATTACAATTGTCATAGTTCTGTGTCAAAAACTGACCATTTCTAACAATCCTCACTCCATCGCGAGGTATCACTGCAACAATGTCAAAACAATGTGATGAGAGAAGCTTCCTGCTGAACAGCCAGTTTCTGAAGCTGACGCAGCACTCGCGGGCCAGCTGAGGTTGAGACGCTCCGTAAGGGATCAGCTCAAAACTGCCAGTGCTGCTGACTGCATACTGGACCTCTGTCAAGCCTTGAAGCTTAAAGCAAGACGCATTGTGCTATCTTTAATAACTACTAACATGTGACAACCCAAAGCAGAACAGAGACAACATTCTATATTTAACCCTTTGATGTATAACATCTACTACAGACAGATCTATAAACGACTATTTTTAGCCTGGCTAACAGAGATGAGCTTTTTGTAGAAACAGCCAAATTGATTTCTGACTGACTTAAAAGCATTAGTTCAGATGAAAATTCTAAAAATAAAACAAATGTTTTATTTTAAAGGAATGTGTGTGTGTGTGTGTGTGTGTGTGTGTGTGTGTGTGTGTGTGTGTGTATTAGTGCTGTCATATTGAATAATCGCAATTAACAAATGAAAGTTTGTAAATGTGTATGTATAAATAGACTACACACACACATATATATACACTTTTTTTCACAATTAATCGATTTAACAGCACTAAATGTATACACATCATATGTATATATATATAAATATATATATAAATATATATATATATATATATATATATAAATAATATTTTCTTTCTATATTGTTATATCACTTTTTTCATATTTTATATAGAAATATGATGCTAAAAATAAACATTTAATTAACAAACGAACAAAGAAATGAAAGTTTATGCAATTAAAATGTAACAACACAAAAAGAGATATAAAGTTACACATAAAAAATACATATACAAAAAGAAAATTACATATACATTTTTATAATTATATATAAATTTCGCATTTAAATATTTGGTTGTTAAATTAAAATATAGGTTTATACTTATATTATAAACAAATTTAATAGACAAATATTTCATATTTAATAAATAAGTATTTTCCTTATTCATATCCAGCATTTTTTTTTTTTTTTTTATAACATGTTTTAATAAAAATTGAAATTTAGTAATTGTTGTGGTGGGGCTAGTGAAAATATTGACAGCCGGAAACTACAAAACTCCCACAAAATTTGCATCCAAGGGTAAAATCAAATTAAAAACCCTGACAGACTCCGTAAAACATCCGTTCGTTTAGTAACAATGTCTAGCTGGCTCTGTCTGACGCTGTTCATACCTCTTTGACCTGGTGCAGTCCTGCAGGGTGCTGCTGACTGCAGGCCCGGTGGCTGGCGGTGGGGGACTTGTGGTGGGTGATGGTGATGACAGAGGCGGGCTTCCCGTGCTGGGGGGTCTGTCTTTGGGCGGAGATGGAGGAGCACTGTGGGACGGGGTGTGGGTGCAGGGAGAAGCTGCGGGTCCGGCCGGATGAGGAGGAAGAGGAGGTGTTGCAGGAGGAGGAGGAGGTGCAGCCCTGAAAGAGACAGCAGCAATGGCAGCAGGAACGAGAGGAAGAGCAGCCGCCCAGGCCTCGCTTCCCCACGGGCACAGGAACAGGCCCTGTGCCACCAGCACGGTCTACCATCACGCAAAAGAGCATCATCGGCCTGACACGACCGCGACAGCAGCCGAGCAGAGACAGGGAGGGGGAGAGGAAGCAAGCGCATCGCATCGCATGGTGGAAGATGAGAATATGAGACGGCAGAGAGAGGAGGAGAGAGAGCTTCCTGTGGAGTCCTGTTCTCCGCAGCAGAGAGATAAAGGTTGTCACTCGTTTCAAATGCTTTCATCTCTAAAAGCTACACCTCAGAAATGCAATCTCATTCCATCAAAGCTAATCATGGACATCATCATTTTTCCATGATTCACAAAAGCATTTAGTGTGCTGCAAAGGCAAGTGTCTAGTGCATGCTTCACAAAAGTCACTAAAATGCAAGTCTAACTAGATTTAGAACTAGCAAAACTTTCTTTTACAATGCTTCTGGGTTTACTGAAGAGTGTATTTTACCGCTCTGCTTCGTGGCTTATACAAACGATCTTTATTCTCATCCATGGTTTGGGTCTATTATTTAATGCACACAACCATTCAAAGGTTGGGGTATTTTATTTTATTATTACATTTACTTATTTTTAAAACAAATGCTTTTCAAAAATATGAAGCAGATCAACTGATTTCAACATTGATTACAATAATGTTTCTTTAGCAGCAAATGAAACTGATTTCTGAAGAATCATGTGACTGAAGACTGCAGAGCAATGATGCTGAAAATTCAGTTTTGCCATCATAGGAATAAATTACATTTCAAAATTCATTCAAATAGAAAATATTTATTTTAAATTGTAAGAATAATAATAATACACAATTTTACAGTTTTAACTGTATTTTTTTTTTCAAAGACTCATTAAAACAAGTATGTTTTCCACAAAAATATTAAATATAAACGGAGGATGTGGTTAGGTAAAAATAAAAGAAAATGTAATAGCACCTGTGCATTCATATGAAACTGCAGGGAACATTGCACTCCTGGGAGTTTTAAAATGGACTCTTAGGTTGGATGAAGATCGCACTCTTTGATACGGCCCAAAATGAGATCACACTACGAGGTTTGCAAGCCGGAATGAGTATTTTATTCAGGTCTGATGGAGCTCCCCCGCCCTTTATGTCTGCAGTCAAATGGCAGCCCATTGTACAGACGTCTAAGATTTCAGATGTGATTTAAAACCACAAAAAGATTGTGTGTGAGAGTGTGTGTGTTATAGTATAGCCCCTATTGGAATTGCAAGTTTACTTGATTATTATTCCTACCCAATGGGAGACAAAGACAGACCTATGAACTGTAGGACAATTATGAAAATTGGCATACTTTTAGTGATGGTAATGAATAGTAATCTAAACCAACTTTGGGGTCTCTCAACTCAATCTCAACAGCACTACTACCAGTTCAAAAATTCACTCTTTAAATAGTTATAACTTTTGAATGCTTTGATCTGTAAAAATGAACTTTAGTACACCTGATTCATCTCATCACGCTGATCACATTCAATTACAGTAGTGGCCATTTAGAAAGGACGGTATTACGTTTTTTTTTTTTCGCGACTCCTTCAAATTTTGCCCAATTCATATGAAAATTGGCTCAGATTATTTTTGGATTGGGCTGCAAAGAAATGACAGAAACGATTTTTTACATTTTTTTATTGATCTTTGTTCTAAAGTTGTACTGTAGCTGACTTAGCGAGGTAGACTCCAAATTTGTTCAGAGGCTGTATCTCACCCAAACTTTGATCGATCAAAATGAAAATTGGTAAACTTCACTGGAACCATGATCTGAGGGTCCTTGCCAAATTTGTGAACAGCGCCACCTACAGGTCATGGGATCTGGAAAATGGCTAAATTTGCTAATAACTGTTGAACATTTGAAACGTTGAAAATCATGATCGATGGATTCCTCGTGTCATGCCAAATCCAATGATACCATCTTTTAAACGATTTGACATATTAACACAAAATTTGGTAGGGATCATCATTGGCATGTCCTGAAGATACCTGAGAAGTTTGAACACAGCGCGACCTAATGTTCTAGAGATATACGTTTTTTTGCAAAAATGCTTTTAACTTTTGGAAACATAGTTCAAAATGTGATTTCTTTGTCATTTTGTTTCTTGGTTTATGCCAATTCTGACGATATCTCATTTATCATTTTCCAAAAATGTGTCTGTCTCCCAAATTGAAGCAAATGAAAAGCATTTTTTTTCGCTACTCCGATAAACTTTGCCCAGTTTTGTCCAAAGATTTACACGCACAGAAATGACTGAACAAATTTTTGATATTCGCTACCGTTCTTGAGAAATATCTCTCCAAATTTCACACTGCCTGTTTTTATATTAGGCTAGTTAGCATAGCATGCTAGTTGGTTAACATGCTAACCAGTTGCCAATCTTTCTAATGTGGCTCTTCAGCTATACTTTGGCATCTCTGTGAAAACACATGACATCTTTCCAGTGGCACAACAAGATGAGCGACAGGAACCTGACCCGTAGATTGTAAGTCTGAGTGAGTACCGTGAGGGGCAACTTAAAATTGTGTGTAATGTTGTGTAAATAGAGCCAATAGCGCTGTGGTTCTGCCTTCATAAACTCAAGTCTCTGTCAAATTAAACAAACCGTTTTATGAGTGGCATGCTGTTTAAAGCAACATCTATCTGTAATTATAACCTTTCTGTAAGTTGACAAAATTACATAATGCAAAAAGATAATAGTACCATGCTAACACTGCAGCAGGTAATAATTAGATTCAGTGCAGTGCCAGTAAATAATTAAATATATACACCAATTTTGACAGTTATGTTAAATATTCAAAATAAGTGCACGGAGTATAAAGACTCCATGGAACATCTGTTGTATGCATTATGGATTTAGTCATTAAATGAATAAATATAACACACTGGTTATTTGGCCTTAGGCCGAAGATGAAGACAAGGCCCAGATTTGTGTGGTTTCAAATGACTTTGCTTATAATGTGATTAATCAAAGAGACTGCAATATTTTTTCTTCTTTCAATGCATTAGCAGCTAGCACTGGGTTGTGTTATTAGACTACCATTTGTTGGTCATATATTGAAAATGAATGCTAATAGAAGTCAAACAATGATTCAGCCTCAAGGCTAAATTTCAGTCCATTTAACCCACGCTCTAAATTAGTGGATAATGCTGGTCTCACCCATAAACACTCATTTTCAGATCTGACTGGAGTTACCATCATTTTCAGACACTCAATAGCGCTGAAAATTACAATAAATAATTGGCAACAACTATTTCAGCTAAATCTCTTTTAGGCTACGAAACAAACATTATGCATTTTTACATGTTTTTAAGGATGCTAACGCTTAAAGATTAACTCAGTAAAGGTTAAACATACAAATCACTGTCTGTTCAAAGACAACAGTGGGAAACAATGCGTGACCAGCAGTGTGTTTTTGTCACATGGTATGTGAACTGACACAATAAAGATAAGTCTGTCTCCTCTCAGTATCAAACTGTTGCATATATTTTTGGACAAAGATAAACCGTGCCATGTGGATAAAAGAGAAATGAGTCTATGCTTACAGTAAATGATCATGTCAGGCGAGCTGTTCCCTTTATAGATCATATCCATACAGCTGTTTTATTGCTCACTGAATTATAGTAATCATAACTAAAACCTGTGAATAACAATAGCAATTCTGTATATGAGCATGAATATAATATTAGAATACTTTACATTTTCTGGAGAAAATGTCACAGAAGGCACAATAAATGTAATGTTGTTATTGTCAACTAAGGCCCTGTTTACACGAGAACGCTCGCGGCTGAAAACGTAAAAATATTTTATCGGATGTGCCTTTCGTTTACACGGCAACGGCGTTTTGAGCCTCAAAAACGCAAAAACGTGAAACCACCCTCCAGAGTGGAAATCTTAAAAACGCTCCACCGCCGCGTTCCCGTGTAAACGGTAAAAACGCAAAAGTCTGCTTGACAGTGAAGGTTGTACGCAGGCGCGTGGACTTGGTGTTGTTGTATGCACTCCTAGCCGCCTGAAGTGCATACTACATTGAATTTCACACATTTTTGCGTCTCCATTTGCACGCGGATTTCCCACACAAAACGCTCGTCTAAACGCAGAATAAACAAAGATGACGTTTTGCGTTTTCTCTTCAGAATCGTTTCCGTGTAAACATAGAGTAAAACTACTTTTTTTTTTTCACCTGTTATATCACCCGCCAAGCCAAAGCCTTGAGTTAAATTGCAGGTAAAAAAGTAATAGCACATCTCAATCGAATAAGCAAACTCAAGACCTCATTGGAAATGCCACCCATTACAACGAACCTTATATCCAATCATGTAATTAACTTTATTCTCTGCTGAAAACTTACGTAACCGTAAGAAGAAAAGTAAGCACTGCAGCATCACAAATCACACGACTACAGGGGCAGTTTATCATCAGAGTAGCGTCTGAAGAGGTCAGAGGAAATGGAGAGCAAGTCAGTCAGTACAGAGAATGTGTGTGTGTGAGAGAGAAAGAGACAAAGACAGGAAGGATGACAAGAGGCACTTACAGATAGGACAGCAAGTACATTGTCGATGACAGGGCGAACTAAATCAAAGGAGGAGAGCCTCAAGCAAACTGGTTTTAAAAGCAAAAGGGAGCCAAAGAGATGTAAAGGAAGGAAATGAGAGCACAGTGTGCCGAGTTAAATGTAACTGGGTTACCTTGGCGCTGCCGTCTGAGTGGCGTCGAGCACACAGCTGAAGCTGGGTCATCCACATCTGCTGCTCACGTGCATCACAAGCTAGAAGAAGATACACATACTATAAATGGCCACATTCATTCATGATGTCTCAATAGCTAATTTAATCCAATAAATTAAGGAATAATTCAATTCTTTGAAAATAATGCACACCCAATGTGATGCCACAATGTGAAGTAAATAATTCCACGTATTCGTTACCACACCTCAAGACATTTTTCAGATGTTGTATTTTAAGACATTCAAGACATCATTTTTTTGGTCCTTGAAACGCTTGTGTGTGTAGGATTAATTTCTTACGCATCTCATTCCACGCTTCCATTGCTAAGTAATTCCAAAATGTAATTTTAGAGCTAGTAACGGAGGCTTGAGCCATTTACAGTAGACTAATGAGAGAGAGAGAGATTAAAGGGGTGATGAAATCAAATTTTCCTTGAGCTTTTGACATCTAAGAGGTCATCATATTATAAGAATATCCTGTAACTTTCAGAACTGAAAACGTCCTTGTTAGTCCAATAAAAGCTTTTATTGACACCAGGCTCAGCAAACGACTCGTTTTTCAAAGTGGGGAACTAACTATGACGTCAAAGATGATAAAAAACCACCCCCGCAGAAACGCCTACTCAACACGGCCGTTAGCCCCGCCCACCGATTCCCGCATTACACGCATAGCTAAAAAACAGATGCCTACCTCGTGACAAACCGGATCGAGAAGGAAACTCATTATAATATGCAAGACTGTTATCCACTCACAGCAGTGGGCGTTTACTTCCAAGTCTTCAGTGCGAGACGCCCATAAAAACCGAGCATTTCTGAGCTGGGCTCAAAACTAGAGTAGAAAATAGCCTATTACTTATTCATTTTAATGTTTTTTAATGTAAAAACCAAGCGAACGTCATAAGTTGACCTCAGACAACAATATAATAAAATGTAAAAAGCCAGTTCATGACCCCTTTAAGCGTGTGTGAATTACCCGAGTCTGTGCATCTCTCAACAGAGTTCGGAAGCAGCAACTCTACTAATTGCGAAACTATACGTTTACATGCTTCAAGAACAGTGCCATTACTACCTCGCTAGAGAGGAATGTCATGTAGCTTTTAAGTTGCTAAACTATTTTACTCCAAAAAAAACAAAAAAAACAAAAACAAAAAAATCATCAGAGCAGCGATGATAACAGGCTTCTGTGTGAGTGTGTGTGTCCGTACTGTATATGTGCTCGTTTGAGTGGGAGACTTAATTTCGCTTTCCCTACATTATAAAACATAATTTTGTGGCAAAATTTTTTTTAATTTTTTTTATCAAAAAAAAACGTAATTTTTTTTATCCTATGAAACCAAATGTCATAAGCTCCATATTTTAAGATTTTCAGTGAATAATTACTAACATTTCGGCACATGCTGAAGTTGCATATCAGACAAGGTTTTTATATGGCCTATGATAAACCATTAGGTATTGTATATTATAATGGACCACAAATACAAGTATTTTCAGCGACACAAGACCAAAAAAACTCAATTTGTGGCTTGTCTGTTACCTGGGGTAAGATTGAGGGAAGGTGTGAAATGAGAAAAACAGCACCTGAAGATTATTATTTCAGAAGACTGGAACACTGGGAGCAGACGAGGCTCTGTCAAATAACGCTGGAGGTGACAGCTTATTTCCTGCGAAATTCATCCTCTCACAACCTCTCCGAAATTGCCTTTGTTACAAATGGCCGATTTGGCTGGTGGCATTTTTGCTTGTAAACTCCTGATACAGTCTAAATGAGTTCTCAGAGTCACCTCGGCCCGGACTGACAAAGAATTTTGATGTAAAACCATTATAAAAAATTGTGGCACACAGTGAATGCCAACCATGAAAAAACTCATGGCGTACTTCAGATGACAGAGAGAAACAGAGAGGTGGAGAAGTATAGAGATCTAATCTGATGTATAAGTAGCTGGCGGGAAAGAGAGGGTGAGTGTGGACAACTAAATCACAGATAAAGAGGGATGCCTGAGGGGAAAACAGTTTTCAAAGAGATTCTTTCTTAAGAGACATAGGACGAGGTGACTCAAGCTAAAGGATGATTGAGGCGGGAGGGATCAAATCGGACACAAATGACCATGTTAAAAGCAAAAGATTCAAACCCACAAAGACAAGAGGACACTCACCCCGCAGTTTGAAGAGATCTCCATTCGCAGCATAGACTGTGAACATGAAGGGAAACTCGTCGCTTAGGGCCACCGAGGAGCCAATTAGGGGCAGAGACCCTCGTGGCTTCTGGTCCTTATTGTGCTCGTTGATGAAATACTGAAGTTGGCCAAGCTCAGGGTCCAACACAAAGTACCTACCGAGGGGAGAAGATGACGACATTACAACTAATCTGGGTTTTGACAGCGAGTGATGCCTGATGTGTATTGCATTATATGCATTTTCTAGGGTGTTGTCTGTTTACCAGAGCATTGCTATGAGGTTGCTCTAATTTTTAACTGTTGTAAATACTAATTTGAAAAGTATCTTCTCAAAATGCTGCAAGAATTGAGGTATTATTTATGTCCGTAACAGAAACCTGTCGGGCGAGTTACAGGATGCACCAAACAAAGTTTAATACTTGAAAACAATACTTGCCTTAGAAACACACAACATACATGCAGTATAACTGGCCAACAACAAAAAGCTCATAAGAGCTTTACGGTGGCCATTATTACTGTCTCTCTCTCTTTCTATCTCATTATTCGTGATGAATTACATGCCACGTCTGGTTCCCCACTTTCAGAGCCAACCAGAGAGGTGCTTTATACGGGATCGTAACTCTGCAGGGAATGGATTGTAATCACACGGTTTGGGTGCTATAACACAACAGCCACCCTCTTAGTAAAAAAATGGATGTGCTGCCAGTTTCTCTTCCACAGTCTCTCTGATGTGGTCTCTGAAAGCTAGCGTACACACAACATTATTTTAAAGAGCAGCTAAAAGTATGAAGATCAAAGCAGGAGCAAATGCATTGCTTTTGATGGCGCAGGACAGACAATCACTGGGGACCTTTGGTGACATTTGCTTACCCCAGCAGTGTGCAAAAAGAACATTGTGTTATACCCCATCAGCCTTTAAAAAAATAGACCCCCAGTTTCACAGGCAAGGCTTAAGCCTGGTTTCAAACTAAAATGCATATTTGAGCTTTTTTATGTCATTGCCATTGTTAAGATGCACAACAGAACTAATTAGATTTGTGATAGACATTCTCTTAGCGGTTCTTTTCAGTAAGTTATTCTCTCCAAGGCCCAATTCTCATCAGGTCAAAATATTGAGTGGTGTGGAAACCTCTCTCTGTTATACACACACACACCCACAAATCATTAAGCACTAAACAGTGACTAGTGCTGGGGTTAACGTGAGGGCTATTTCTGAGCCATTGCGGAGGGCGAGTAACCCTCCGATCCTGATGCTCGTTATTTGCTTGGCCTGTTTCCTTATCGATCGTTGGACTAAGCAAGAGAATGAGCACAACATTATAGATGTGAGGGATTTCCCATCACGGATGAGTCATAGTCTCTCTCCCAGATGAAAGAGCCTTAACTGTGGGCTGTGCTGCACTCAACCCTGCAGAACACACAAGCATGAAATCCGACATAAACAAAACTGCTCTCAATGAGAGGCTCTTGCTTTGGAGTGTTTCTGCACAGCTTAGCTGTTAAAGGGCTCATTTCACATTTAGATTCCTGACTACAAATAGACACTTTCATTTTTGGGAGGGTCCTCTAAACATAGGGCTATAATGAAATCATGATATTTTGATGTGTTTTAAAAAGCAGAAAACTTTCCAGATTAGAGTTTGTGTCTTTTGTAGAGAATCTAGAGATACAGCCAGTATACTAAGCAAACTAATGCAATTTTACTATATAAAATAGATATCTGCAATAAGACTGTAGGATAAATCAAATCACAAGACAATCGCCTATTACATAACACCAGATACTTAGATAACAGGTAGGCAAACTAAGAGGTGGGATCTTCCATCTCAACAGATTGCATCAGATTTTAGAAAATGCAACGTCTTATTTGATAAAAAAAAATATTTTAATATAATATAATATAATGTCCAAATCAAAAACCTTTAGGAGAATCATCAAACAAAGATTTGAAACAAATATATTAGTTAGTTAGCTAGTACCAAATTGTTTACTTTCATGCATGATGTCATTACGGATTGACATCAATTTCATTATTCACTTAGAAAACAATATTTGACCGAAACTTAAGATGCGATGGAAGTGCGAGAATAAAGCGGGACATATGCTCAGCATCAACAGGGAGAGAATCCCACAAATTTAAACAGTGAAAGATAATATTTAATTCATGCATAGCGTCATATTGCATTGGAATAGACCGCTTTCTTTGCATTGCTGGAAGATGACGTGTCTTCATTCTTTGATCCCGATACTGATGTAATGAATATGAAGCAATGGTATGATCAGAAATGTGAACAATCTTCATCATATTAGACTGTCTGGCAAGAAAAATATTTAGAAAGGGGTTTAAAAGTTGTAAAGAGTGAGCAAACGCCAAAAAACTCTTTACCTGCTCTGCCAACCTTGTAATAAATTGGTGTATTTGTTCAAAATCCCCTCCAAGTGTCTCTTCTGGGTCTGAGATGGATGAGTGTCCGAAACAGCCCCTGATCCCGGACTGTACGAGCCGCTTCTTGCCTGTCTCTGTGCGGGATTCCCCAGATCCGCGGACCACTTTCCTTTACTGCTCCCTGAATGCGACATGTTCAGTGTTTTTTCCATGATTATTCCAAACTCTGGATCATACAGTATGACGATTCAAAATCCAAAGCACAGTTTCACAACCAAACCAAAGATACTGTTAAAATGATCATCGCATGGAGAGGACGTGATTGGAGATTACTTTCATTTTTTATCTTGATGCCTTGCCTTGGACTCTTTAATGGGCTTCTCTGTGTTTTCATTGGAATCAGTGTGTGGTCACTCCCCTCCCGCTCTCCTCAAACAGGAATGCTGCATCAGGAAGGCGAGACGAGTGAACGCAAAGCCACGCCTCCTCATTATCATAGGCACGAAGAAATAATAAAATGAATGAAATAAGTGAAATAATAACAAATAAACGAAATAAAAATGAATGAATGAGTATAAAAATATTTAAAAAAATGATAAAAAAACCCATACCTTATAATTTATTTATTTAAAATAAACTCTTTTGAAATGCACTCTTACTAATAAATTATTTCAGTAACAATTATTAAGTGGCTGTCTCATTTGTCGTTCTGACGCTATTCACTTAAGATTAATTTATGATTTATATTTTCAACTTTTTTTTCGTTGGGGTAAAAATTATGTCGTAATTAATAATAATAATAATAATAATAATAATTTCCATGCAAAAAGAATTAAAATATTTGTGTGTGTGTGTGTTTTTATACTTCAGCATTTGTAATTTGTCGAGAAAAAATATTTCCATTCATGTTTTTATATTTTCATATTTTAGCATTTCAAATTGGGTCTGAGACAAAAAGTAGTTTCCAGGTTTTGACCACCACATTGCAAAAATAAAAAGATGGAATAGGTGTAAATGTTGTTAGTTCTTCTATAAGCAGAAGTGTGAAAGAAGAAAGAAAGAAAGAAAATTATGAGGATGCATTACTGTAATGGATATTAATTTAATGAGCTACTAGGTTTAAACTTGTTTATTTATAAGGTTTATCAGCTCAAGTAGAATGGATAGCCTAATTATTTCCATAAACGCGCTATAGACATAAACTGAATTAAATGATCCTAAAAACATCTAAAAGAAACGTGTAGAAATGAGAGAGAAAACTACAACTCCCAGATTTCCTACATGCCACCGATGACGCAGTCAAAAGTGGACCAGCACGCTCCCTCCCACCGAGAAACTGTTAGACTTTATAGTATTATTGCCTATATTGTTTACTTGAAACATTTATCCATTAGTTGATCACAAAGTCGGCGATGGCTGCTCCGCTGAAAGTGTGTATTGTTGGTTCAGGAAACTGGTGAGTATGAACGTGTAATGATTAGATATGATCAATATGTGATTGGTAATGAGATTAATATAAAGAACATATGGCGTGGATCAACTGCTAGCTCAGAGAGTACTTACAAATAACTGGACCGCAAGTTTAATTGCCTGCGTGTTTTTATTCGATATTCGGGTCCATATGTTAAACATAGTTATTCTGGGCAAAATCAAGTGATTAATGGCTTGATCTGATGAGCTGCATGCTGCATACACTCATTTGATTGCAGCTGGCAAAACAGCTTCTCAGGGTTGTAAACCCTGCTTGAAACGTCTCAGTGAACTGCTGTTTAACAACAGACTGGCATTTTGATTAAAGATACTGTTGTGTTGTACTGTGCCAAGGGGCTCTGCTATTGCAAGAATTATTGGCTCCAATGCACAGAAACTCCAGTGCTTTGCCACAACAGTCAAGATGTGGGTGTTTGAAGAAACGGTCAATGGGAAAAAGCTTTCTGAGATCATCAATACAGAGCACGAGAATGTCAAGTATCTTCCAGGCTACAAACTCCCAGAGAATGTGGTAAGACAGTGGGTGGGGTGTGTTAATATTGTTTTATGCTAGCTTGATCTGATGTGGAAATAAATGTCAGATTAATGGTGTTTTTCCCATAGGTTGCTGTGCCGCAGCTTCGGGATGCGGCGGATGGTGCCGACCTCCTGGTTTTCGTGGTCCCTCACCAATTCATCCGGAAACTGTGCGATGAGATGGTCGGCTGCGTTTCGGAGAAGGCTCGTGGAATTACGCTAATCAAAGTGAGAAAGCTAGGCATAGCATTGTACAGAATTGACTTGTAGTGCTTTTTGAAAGGCTTCCTAAGCTATATTGAAGAGGGAAGGTTTTATTATTGTGTAGTTAAATTATTTCCTAATGGTTAGAGCAGTGTTTCCCAACCCTGTTCCTGGCGACACACCAACACTGTGTGTATTCTTTGTCTCCCTTATCAAACACACCTGACTCAACCCATCAGCTCATAATCAGGTGGGTTAATGAGCTGATGGGTTGAATCGGGTGTGTTTGATTAGGGAGACAATGAAAACACGCAGTGTTGGTGTGCCGCCAGGAACAGGGTTGGGAAAGACTGGGTTAGAGAGCTGGACTTGTAAGGTTTGATTCTCAATACCGGCAGGAAATGGCTCACCCAACCACTAATAAGTGTGTTCACTACTCACTGCTCATAATGTGTGTGACTATGCACTAATTTAATCCCACAATGCACCACAATACCGAGTGTACAACCGATGTATGCTCAACGGCTAGAGAATACCCATAATGCACTGTTAGGGTCGCACACTGAATTAATTTCCGCGTCCGACCAGAAGATGGTGCCCGCAGCTGAATTGTCCCTCCATCAATTTTCATAATTCGCTGGTCCAATGTGGGTATAGCATAATACCATACAGGTATAATTTCCTTTTTAATTGATTGTTAAATTGTTTAATTATACATACTTTCCATGACAGAGTTCAAGATAAATCTTTTCATCTTATTTATGGAGCTGCAAGTTTGCTAAATTTCAAACGATTATTAAACGGCAAGCACAAACTATGCAAAAGCAGCAGCCCTTCCGGCACACTCGGTGTCCGAATTCGCTCACTCATCATTCACTCCCTCCAGTGAACTATTTTAGTGGACTAATGTAGGAAATAGTGAATGAGGGTATTTCAGACACAGCCCAAGTTTTGGTCAAACCTTGAGAATCCTCTTCTATGCAGACGGGATGTTCAGGACTGAAGAAGAATGCTGAGAAGTCTCAGACTTGATGTCTTTTTAAAAGCTCAGCACAGTGCACCATATGTGGAGTAACTCATGGGTAAAAAAAGGACCCTCTGTCCTGCTGGCAAACTATTTGCGTGCAAATTACCTCCTGGTGCTAGTTTGTCTCCTCTGTTATTGACTATGCCACTCAGGGCTTCATCTTTCTAGTTGTACCTTCACTTCGCTATTTAAAGTGTCTCATTACATTTCTCCCAGTGTTCCGTGTTTAATATGAAAAGATATGGTTTGTCTGTTTTCTTTTTCAGATTTCTGCCCATTTCCTGTGTACTCATTCCACCTCCCTTATTATTTTTGTTCTGCTTTGGTGTTCCTCCTCATTCTTTGAGTCATTAGGCAGATAGTCCTCCTAACATCTGTGTTTCAGAGTTCTATCTACTGAAGGGGAAATGGTGTGATGCTACATTAAAAGAGCGTCGGTGTTGATAGAATTGGCTCTTTTTTTCCTTCTCTGTAGGGCATAGATGAAGGACCAGAAGGATTGAAGCTCATCTCTGACATCATCCGGGAAAAAATGGGCATCGATGTCAGTGTCCTAATGGGGGCCAACATTGCTAATGAAGTGGCGGCAGAGAAGTTCTGCGAGAGCACCATTGGTGAGTGATTGTAAACTGTGAAAATACTGTATATAGTTGTGCTTGTAAGAAACCACATAAACCACAAACACATTGCGGGTAAATTCAGACCACCTGTTAACGCTTAATCATGTTCTGTATAAGTTTAATTTGCAGCAGTAACAACCGCATTTACAAAATTTTGCATTGTGTACAAAACCGAATTGTATAATTGTGTGTACAAGAATAGTCTTGATTGTTCAAAAACACATTATTTTACATTATTACAGCACCTCTCTCCCCAGTCTGGCTCGAACATGTCATTAGTTTGATGAAGCCCCTCCTTTCGAAATATGAAATGTGCTGTGATTGGTTAGCTGTCCCAGTGTGTTGTTATTGACACCATGTGTTTGGGAAATGTCACGCCCCTTACCTTATCGTGAGTTTCATCTGCTCAGGTGTAAATATTAAGCATGCCAATTTCAAGCCTGATTCAGACTTAAGTATGGTTAATAGTTATTTTTTCCTACGGGTGGTGAACAGTATTACAAAAGTGAGAGCTTATAAAAGATACAGTAAACACTACATCAACACTGATGTTGGCTAGCAGGCGACCGCAGGCAAAGGCAATATAGGATCCCTTTAATGGCATATTTAAATGCACGATTTAGTTAAAATAGTATAACATAATATATGTATATATAATATATAAATGAAATAACCTCTCATTACAACCGAGGTATTCAGCAAAGCATTTGTGAAGCCACAAGATGCACAACCTTGAGGCGGATGGGCTACAATAGCAAAAGACCCCACCGGGTACCACTCAGCTCCACTACAAATTGGGAAAAAGAGGCTACAATTTGCAAGAGCTCACCAAAACTGGACAGTTGAAGACTGGAAAAATGTTGCCTGGTCTGATGAGTCTCGATTTCTGTTGAGACATTCAGATGGTAGAGTCAGAATTTGGCGTAAACAGAAAGAGAACATGGGTCCATCATGCCTTGTTACCACTGTGCAGGCTGGCGGTGGCGGTGTAATGGTGTGGGGGGTGTTTTCTTGGCACACTTTAGGCCCTTTAGTGCCAATTGGGCATCGTTTAAATGCTACTGCCTACCTGAGCATTGTTTCTGACCATGTCCATCCCTTTCTGATCACCATGTACCCTTCCTCTAATGGCTACTTCCAGCAGGATAATGCACCATGTCACAAAGCTTGAAACATTTCAAATTGGTTTCTTGAACATGACAATGAGTTCACTGTACTAAAATGGCCCCCACCAAAATGGTCACCAGATCTCAACCCAATAGAGCATCACAATTTCTTGAGAAAACTGTTCCATACACACACTGAAAATATAAGGGATTCACTCTCATGGTTAGATGGGTGTACTGCAGTACACATAGTAACTTGCTAAAAAAGCAGCACCATGGGAAATCTCAACAAACATTATCTTCAATCCACAGGCAGCAAGGTGTTGGAGAACGGCCACTTGTTCAAAGAGCTCCTGCAGACGCCTAACTTCAGAATCACCGTGGTGGATGATGCTGACACAGTAGAGCTCTGTGGAGCCCTCAAGGTAAATATCAGTCTTGTCTTGCTGCTCATCCCAAGGGAAATATCTGGATGCATGCACCTGAGATGCAGGGCTTCGGGGGCACGACTCAGACCTCTGTGTAAAGAAGAGCTTGCGCTGCTGAATTTACAATTAGATGCCTGAAAGGCCGCTGTCTTCCTTCTCGTAAATACATTGTAAAAAATCGTTGCAACATTGGCAAGTTTTGACAAATATTCTGGGTTATTTCATTCCAAAACTTTGACTTCTTTCTTCTATGGAGCATAAAAGTTTTTAGAAATGTCTCAGTGCCATTATTTTTATCCATACAATGGAAGCCAACCGACTCGGCCGACAAGATACCAATAAACAAAAAAGTGAGAGGAGCAAAAGAAAAAAAAAATTGTAGATATCAATCTGCATATAGATAGACCATTTCACAAGATGTAAACAAGACTGGTCCAGAAGCACTTCCTGTTTCAGTTTTTTAACACTACATAAAAGCTGGAATAAAATCAGAAACCAACAGAACATTTAAAACTGAATCAAAAAGTTAAACAAACATCTTTAAGATGTTTTTCCTTTACATGTGAAATAAAGAAAACAGTTACAAACTGAAACAGGAAGTGTTTCTGGACCAGTGTTGTTTACATCTTGTGAAATGGTCTATACGACGGACATCGGTTATGCTTATCTTTGCTTGCTCCTTTTAAAGGTATCTTGAGTAAAACTGCTCCATACAGAAGACCTGAAATAAAGAAAGAAACAGAAGTAATTCAACCTGTTTAAATGAACACAGAAGTTTGTTGCGCAGAACCCCCAATTTAGATCTTACTGGTATTCTAATAATCCTTGCTTGCTTATTTTACCATTATTTTTAGCATATTAGAACGATTTCTGAAGAATCATATGACACTGAAAACTAACGTAATGGCTAATAAGAATTCAGCTTTGCAATCACATGAATAAATTGCATTTTAAAATATATTAAAATAAAAATGTTATTATTACAGTTTTTTATCAAATAAATGCAGTCTTGTGAGCAAAACAAATCTTACAAATCCCAAACCTTTGAATTGTAGCGTATATAATATAGGAAAATAGGATTTATGCTTAAGTTAATAGGCTGGACACTAATTGTACCGTATTTCTGGAAAGTGCTGGATGCATTGCACCATTCTGGCATTCTAATAACCTTTCCATCCTTATTTGTCCGTGTTTTAGAACATTGTTGCAGTGGGCGCGGGCTTCTGTGACGGTCTGCAGTGTGGAGACAACACCAAAGCAGCCGTCATCCGGCTGGGCTTGATGGAGATGATCGCGTTCGCCAAGCTCTTCAGCAAAGACGATTCCGTGTCCTCCGCCACATTCCTCGAGAGCTGCGGCGTGGCTGACCTCATCACCACCTGCTACGGAGGACGAAACCGTCGCGTGGCAGAGGCGTTTGCCAGGACAGGGAAGGTAAACGGAAAACACATCCGTTTGTGTTTTTCTCCACTTGCCTGATGGCATGTAATGTACGTTTTATGGATTGAAGGAAGATGCTGAGCATTAGGCACATTTGCTGATGCACACAAGATCAATACAGATTTATTTTTCTTTCAGAGCATCGAGGAACTGGAGAAGGAGATGTTAAATGGACAAAAGCTTCAGGGACCATTGACTTCTGCTGAGGTTTATCACATCCTCAAACAGAAGGGCCTAGTGGATAAGTATGTGTAACCATTTTTTGGCTGTCATGTTATTATAACTGTATTATATATTTGCATTAACCTGACATGGTGTTCATGCACGTGACACAATACTGAATACAAATCTAAAGTTAAAAAATTGTATCCTAGCAATACACTGCAGTCCATATAAAAGAGATCTGATTCTAGAATTTTATAAATGTGCTTCTTTTTGATGCATAATTTATCCCCCTGTGTCTATCATTATGCATTAAAAAGAAGTATTTTTATAAGACATTCGCAGAGTGAAAATCTCTTTTTTTTAATGTATGGAATTATTATTTTGCCGAAGCATCTGAAAAATGTGGTGATATTCTAGTAAACAAAATAAAAATATAAATTAAATACTTTTTAAAAAATGTGCCAGGATGTCAAAATTATAACATGATTTTAATTATTGGATAATAATTTCCATTTTAGAGAAAGTATGGACATTTTGTTGCATTTTAACTAGCTACTTGCTCATTTTAGAATGTTAATTTTATTTCGATAAAAATATTATTTTACTCACACTAGCGTTTAAAAGGCTACATTTTAATTCGGCAAAGATGTATGAATTTTCTTCAAAACAGGCATTTTATAATGTTGCAAAATGTTCTATTCATCAAAGAATCCTGAAAAAAAATGCATCACAGTTTCCACAAAATATTAAGCAGTTTTGAACATTGATAATAATAAGACAACATGTTTATCGACCAAATCAGCCTATTAGAATAATTTCTGAAGGATCATGTGACACTGAAGACTGGAGTAATGATGTTAAATTCAGCTTTGCATCACAGGAATAAACTGTTTTAAAAAGTATTAAAATAGAAAATGTGTATTTTAAATTGTATTAATATTTCAGAATATAGCTGATTTTACTGTCATTTTTAATTGCATAAATTCAGCCTTGGTGACAATAAGAGACTTTTTTCAAAAACATAAAAAAAAATCTTGGCAACCAAACTTTTGAACAGTAGTGTACCTAATACTAGAAGGTGGGATTTGTGCTTTTATCAACTAAAAAAACAAGAGGATGCATTGGACTATTCTTTATTTAACAGTCTGTGTATTATTCAGATGACTCGCTCTGGGGCACAATGTTCTTTGTCAAGATCCATTTACAAAATTGGTGATATCTCATTCTCAAATCTGCATTATTCTCCAGGTTCCCCCTGTTCACGGCTGTTTATCAGATCTGTTTCGAGGACAAACCGGTTCAGGACATGATCACTTGCATGCAGAGCCATCCAGAGCACCTGTGAGTGTCTCATGGGGACCAGAACCCCCGGTGACTGCCCTCCCTTGTCCACCCACGTCCCCTACAGTCTGTTAGGTGCTCCTACCTCTAACACTTCTCATTTTCTTTTATATACACAAACATTGTTAGATTTTAAGCTTCTCTTTTCCAGTTTTTGACCAATGGTTAGGCTTGAACTCAGGGGTTTGCCTCCGACCTCGCAGGTTTTGTACATGACAGAATGTACTCCGTTTTTCTTTTGGAAAAGCCATGTGTTGTTCACTCTGTTTGAGCCAATATGGAGTTTTTAAACTATTTTCTCACTGTCTGACTGCCCTCTTGTGGATAGTCCACAATATCACCTCACTGACAGATGAGATGAAATGCCTATTTTTATTTTTTTTAAATGACCATAGAGAGATCTAATCATAAACGTTCACTCCACGTCCACATTGAGAGCAACACGACGCGACTAGAACGCCTCCGTTATAATCAATGAATAGCATGAGTGTTAATATCATGTTGAACCAGCACAATACCACTATCTTTAATAAAAGAGAAAACGGGCTCAAGGGAACAAGCTAGGTTTAATACTAAGTATACACTTTCATTATTTCATTTCTGTTTGTTTCATGTTGATAAATGTCAACTTCCATTTACACCTAACATTTTGGGAGACATTAGATTTCTTTAAATGTGAAGATGCCTTACTGGTCAGGAAGATGAAAGTTCTACTTTAATGGACTCACTTTTGAGTTTTTGTTTCAAATTTCAATATATAAGGGGTTCAAATCTGTCATCTCAACTTCCCAGCAACACCCTTCTATGACTGGAAACTTGTTACAGAACAACAATGTTGACTACAACTTTTATTGTGTTAGTGTTAAAATAATGCAATGTTGCATATCTAAGCTTCAGGAATGCATTAACATTTTGTTTGAATCCTCTAATCGTTGATGTAGTAATCATTTTAGCATCCTGAAAAGCTGAACAACAGTTCACGTTAGTACTCGCATCTTTAGTTGTACTATGAAAAGAATGAAGGAATGAGATCTGTATTTTTTAAACAAGGGATCTTGATAGGTGAGCAGCTAGTGTTTGAACCCATAATGGCCTTTTTTAGCACTGTACTGTGCTTACAAATCGGTTGGGTCATACCTAACCTTAACACTAGATTTGCTTTTTGCATGTAGCTGTTACAGTGTGTCTATTATTCCTGTGTTGTTTTTATTTTTTCAGTGTTCATGTAAGAGTTTGAATCATTTAAAAGTATTAAACTGTGCAAATGTCGCAGTGTGCTCAGTGTAACACTCCAGTGGATGAAGTATATCAAACTGCTGTTGTTTAATGACCCATCCTGTGTTCTCTCCTCTGAGAATGTGATCATCTTTGCAAGTTGTCCAAGGCTGAACTTTAAACAAATGCTGCTTTTGAAAGTAAACAATACAATAATCTCTGTGCTAAATGTTTGTTTCATTATTGCATTGATCTTGGTCTAAATATGAAGCAACATTTTATGATTAGCATAAGATGCGTCACAATTTAGACTGTAGATCACAAGTTATGTGGAAGAACTGAAAACTTGTATTTTTTTTTTATTATATTAATTAAAACTAATCTAAATTAAAATACAGTCAATATGTAAACTCTAGATCACAAGTTATGTGGATGAAGAACTGAAAACTCAAATTATATTATTTATTTTTATGATTTAAACTCATTAAAACTATCTAAATTAAAATAAAATTAATATGTAAACTGAAATAAATAAATAAAATTGATTGAAGAACATTATTATTAGTTTATGCAAGAGCAAACAAGACTGTCGAAAAGGGGTGTGAAGGACTAAAATATTCAGAGTAAATTTAACACATTTCATTAAATACTGAATAAAGATTAACTAAATCATCAAAAAATGTCATCATAAAATATATAATGTGTTTGTGTACATGTAATATATCTATATTATCTATTATATAGGGGTCCTTTGCATATTATTTTGGCCTTTGAATCAAAAAAGTTTGAGAATTTATATATTAATATCAATATGTGTATATGTTCTGTGGCAAACACCATTGGCTGTATTTGTTCCTTTTTTTCTTAGTGTAATATCACTCAACCTGATAAAATATCCTATGAGATTTTCTTCCTGAACAGACACATGATTTATCTTCAGAATTTCAAGTTGCAGCACAAGATAAATGGTGGTAAAAATATTTTATTCCAGAATGCATTTTTTTTCTTTCCTCTAAAATGGGACACAATGTATAATAAAATACAACTGCAAAAGTCCCCGAATCAGGGATTTTGAGTGTCATTGTTTTGCAAAACAAAAACCTAAAACAAAGATAAAAAGGGTAACTGCACAGCTCCTTCATAGAAGCCATATATGTACATCCTGTTGGACATCTCTAACAGGACAGTTTCATTTCTATGAAACACTGAATAGCCTCTTTGAAATCAACCTGTTCCATTCATATTTTCATTTCTGATTGTTTTTTGTCCATACGTTTATCGTCACAGTTTTTAAAACTGTCGTTATTAATGGTTCTGATGTTGTTATATATAGTTCCTTCCTGCTATTGATGATCCTTCAGAGGCTCATAATGACTCATATGTTTAACAAAATTATTTAACAAAATTAATTAAGCTGCATGGACTTGATCACTCTCACAAACATCAATATACATCTATCACCATCTACACACACACAAATATATTTTTAAAAGAGCAGATTGGTCATTTCAAGAAACAGTCTGAGACACAATCTGACCTGAAGAAATACTTGAATCGATGTCAAACTAGTCTTCATCATCATCATCATCACCAAAGGACAGCAGACTGTTGTTCTTCACCTTCACACCAGCTTTTGACTCTTTCTTGTCACCATCCTCGCTTTTCTTCTTCTTGCTAGAGCTGGCCGTAATGCCTTTGAATTTATCAGAGGAGCGTTTGACAGGCTTCTTAAAGACGATCTTTCCATCAGATGGAGGCTGTTCATCTGGAGAAAATGAAAGCATTTCATTTAATGAATGACTTTATACTCTCTGAACACCAGAACATTAAGGGAGACTGGATTGATTTTCTACTTCTTCCCATCATAACTCACAGACCTCTACAAATGTACCTGCCAGCTTTGTTATAAGAAACATGTATTTGTGTCGCAAGTAACTATTATCAACAGACCAGTAACCAGACAGAAATAAAATAAAATTTAAAGAAGCCAGAGCGAGAGTTTGCAACTTGGTCAAAACTGAAAAATTAAATTGCATATTTGCTCACTGTCTGTCTCAAATAAAAACACATAATAAAACTTGTCTAATAGTAGTTATTTATGTCACTGAATAATTTTTTTCAGTGAAAAGACAAAAAAAAATTGGGATATAAAAATATCAATTCAATCCATCACAGTAATCTATACAGTGAGAACAAATAACCATTGCACAACCTTTGAGAACAGCTGCTAAGCTATTGAAATATTCAAAACGTGTGCAAATTTCACAGCAAAAGATCAAAGAGCTTGTATAATTATCTTCTTTCTTTCTTTTCATTTTTAGGCAAGTAAAAAAAAAAGTCTACCATCAACCACATTCAGTCTGAGCAACACACAACTCCTCAAAGAAATGTGGAGGACTAAAATATTAATTGGCAAAATAAATATTTAGATGGAATACCTAAATATGTCAGTGTCATTAAAAAAAAAAAAAATCAAACCTTTCCTTATGAATAAGATTTTATTGTGATTACTGTACCAATATGTATTGTATTCGTTTTCAGAAATAACTACAGCAATTTTATGAAACGTTAAAAATAATTTAAAAAAAAAGTATGCTTTTATCTATGGATTTTTTTAATGCACCTATTTAATTGTAATTTAGATTATTTGGAGATTATATTAGGTTATTAAATTATTGCATTCGGAGTATGTGGGTCATTATCAAGAATTGACTTAGAATTGCAAGACAGGTTTGGTTTGATCACATTCTTATCCATGAAAGCAATGCACGTCGCATTAGAAAGAGGTGCAACAACGCATTACCTGTGTCTGAATCTGTGTCCTTCTTTGTATCTTTTTTGACATTCAGAACCTCTTCAGCACTCAGATCTCCCTTCTTCAAGACCACGACCTGCGGCATCTCGTCCTCCCGATCACTGTCAGCACTGTCAGCATCATCACACTGCGGCATCTGCTGCTTCTGCAACAGCAACATTCACTTCATTTCCTACACTAAACATGTCATGAATACAATAGAGAGATGCGTTGAGCTAGCATTTTTAAGCTAGCATCTCACTATGTTTTGAGGCATGACCAATGTGAATAAAAACACTTAACGTTACCTTAGTGTCCACTGTCGGCCCTTCTTTATAACCAACATCATTCTTAAATTTCTTCAAAAAAGATGGTTCGGCTGGCTTCACCCATGATACATTACCCTTTTTACTCATTGTGTTTGTAGTTCAAATCAGACTGATAAACTGTAAATGTGCTTAATGTTTCACAAACACTAAACACACAAAAGCCAGGCGTGTAAATTTTGCGTCATCAATAAGTGCCTGGGAATGACCAATCATCGCGAGCCTTCATTATTTCTTACATTGAGCAGCATTGCTGGCTGCTAACTTTCCACAACATTTATTTTCCTCAAGAGGCGCTTGGCGGCCCAGAAAGCCGAAGTCTCCACTGAGCCCCGTTTATATTACAGAGTGTTTTCCCTCCTATTGGAGACATTTTAAACTGTATAATCAATTAGATGTATAGATTTTAATAGCTAAATAGAAATCCAAAAAAGCTATTCTGACAAACTAATTATGCAGTGATCACATGTGATTGGTCCATTATGAACAGCATTGAGGAAAGTAACACGCATCACAAGAAAGACTTCACATTTTTCAACAGTGGTCTAGGTAACAGTTTTCACACAAGTAATGACACTTCAACATTAAAAAGCAATTACACGGGGTGAAGATGTTAAATACGACGTTTTTATTTAGGTCAACTATGTTTTTATTTTATTAAGTCCCGCCCATTTGACCACGTGATTCACGCTAAGTGTCACTCTACCTGTTCGATTTATTTCTGTGATGCACAGTGGGAAGTTTCATTATCATTTTAATTTTATGTCTTAAAATTGTATGTCTTATGTCTCCAGATGATAAAGTAGTGGTGTTACCATAGTCAAGTCTAGGTGAGGCAGTAGGAGCTGGAATTATGTTTCCTGGGGTGTTTTATGCGTTGATCGCCGGGTTTTTGGCAGCTTTAGCATCATCTTCTGCTAAGTTGTCTTTGGGTGCTGATTATCTTAAAGGTGTGTGTGAAACAGTGCTGATCCGGATAGATGGGCAGGGAAACACTACAGGAGTTGATACCACAGCTTGTGACTGGGTAAGATGTGTGTATATATCTTATATTAGAAATAAATATATGTGTGTGTAAGGCAAGACACCTCAGGTGAATAGGGTAAAAGAAAATTACTAATAGATATCACCATACATCTTGAGTTTAGTCTGAAAAAAACATTTAATGAAAAGCCAAAATCTCAAAATTGACAGATCAGATGCATTAAAAACAGATTTTGACTGTAGTAGCTTGCCTTAAATGAACAATGAACATAATGTCATTTTAATGTTGTCATTAATCGCAGTTACACATACCTCTGCGGCTGCTTTGTGGTGGTCTTTTGTTCACCTGCAATGCTGTAATGTGGACCTTCTTCGCCAAAGCCCTCCGACACTCGTCTTCCTCTGCCCGGGCCACTGTGACCACCACTGCCTCAAATTTTATCTTCTCTGTAAGATTGCTCAAACCCTCAAGTTCATATTAGAAACTAGTTACTTACTCTTTTAAAATTCATTGCCTTTTTCCCAGGCTTTCCTTGGACATGTGATCTTTGGCGAAACACATGCCACGCTGTGGTGGGTTGGTATCATCTTGACCCTGACAGGGCTTCTGGTCTTGCATGGATCGACTCCTCAGTCTCCACAGGAAAATGTGGGAAAAAAATATGAGTGACAGAACAACACAAACATTGCCTTATCCAATGCTTGAAGTCAAATCAATCAAGTCAGATGGTGTGTAACTTAAACCATGTAAAGCTATTGAGCTAATAAGAATTATGCACTTTTATTTCTGTCATGGGATTGTTTTATACAATCTTTGTAGTTAATTTATTATTGTGCATCATGATGTGCATCATGGTAATGTTAATATTGACACGATCAAAGCCTTGAAATGTGTCTCACTTTGTGCCTACCTACCTCAATCAAGTAGGTGAATGCATACTTCAGCCGTCAAGGGCACATTATGCACGTTTATAATATATTAATTTATACTCTTGGTAACTACTACATTAAATATGTATGTCATACTGTGTGATGCTGATACACAAACGCTATTTTTATTATTTATGTGTTTATTTTTGCTGTATATTTGACCAAATACAGCTGTGGATCTTATTTTGTTTTACTGTTAAACGTAATGTTTGTAACTTTTTAAAGTCTTCCAAACTAAAACCTATTTAAACTTGCACTCCAAATAGTGAACAGGCACACTCAGATATATTCATTTTTGTATATATTTTAATAATAATACATTACACTGTTTTACCTCATACAAATTATATTTGGATTAAATAGCACCTGATAAGCAAAATGTGGTTTAAAAAAAAAATCCACATGTATTTTAAAATGAAAAGTTCTTCTGTTGTGTGTCATTTTGAGTAAACCACTGACCTGGACTCTATTTTAAACCCAACCACAAAGGCAGCATCTGTTGAGCACAGCTGGCCATTACAATGTATTCTGCTCTGAAATCACATCTGAAAATTGACTTGATACTACCTAGTCAACCAATGAGAAATATCAGGTAATGGAAAAAAAATCCAAAACAATAGCATAACAAACAACGAGCCTGTAATGGAAAAAGATGTACAAGTATTTTATTTTTTTAAAGGTCGTAAATACAATGAAAAAGACAGATATGACATAGAACAACAATAAAAATAAGCAATATATCAATCAGATCCTGGGATGGTAAATCTGATATGTGCTTTTGACAATTATGGAAAAGTCTTAACAGGTCTACAAATAAGCACCATAATTTTATATTATCAAATACTGCACCAGAACTTGCATAGTCATGGGTTTATGCCTTTTTCAATGTCAGGCCATTTTAAGAGTCTTGTAGTACATTAAGGCAACATTAGAGATTTTATAGTTTTAACTGTGATATTACATCTTAAAAAGGTCCTATAGGAAAAAAAGATCTCTTCCAGTTACTGAATACATTTCTTTTTCTTTTTAACCAAAACTAAAATGATAAACTCCTAGGCAAAGAATAAAGGTCCAACAAAAAAAATGGCAAAATATTTAGTGGTCTTTTATCGGTCTTAACCATTTTAAATCACAAACAAATCACTGGTCAGGAAATTAGCAAGAATTGCACAAACACTGCAAATGAGTAGCAATAGCCTTCCCCTCTGCCATGTGAGCAAACTTACAGACAGCTTTTTACAGGAAGAAGAGTGTGTGTTGTTCACTCGATGTTCATGACTTCAAGCATTTCATGAGTAGTTAAAAAGGTCTCCCAGTTCATTTGAGTGATAATGTGAGACCAAATATTCACCATAGGGTTTAAATCTGGAGTCTGACAAGGCCAAAACATGAGCCTGATGAACTTGTTCTCAAACCACTTCTTGGTTATCTTCGCAATTTGGGCAAGCGCAGTGTCGAAAATAACATCTAATCATTTCGCTTTAGATAACTTTTCAGTTGTGAGAAGCAAGCCTTTCTGCAATACTCTCCTGTTCTCCAAAGCATTAAATGACTTTTCACAGTGAAGCAGATCACCAATACCAGCAGCTAAAAAGGCTCCCCACACCATGACACCTCTTTCTTCACAGTGGTATTTATTATTAGATTTCTCAGCAGATTGTCGAAGACACTGCTCTGGAGCATCACCATGTGACTCGTGTTTCATCGTGACCCATCACTCCACACACAACTTCCCATATTCTGCCAAAAACTCAAAAAGTTTTTCCTGCATTTTAAGTTAAATCTTGCCAATTTCCTGACCAATAATTTGTGGTTAAAACAATTTAAAGCTTAGTGTTTAGCCATTTTTTGTTTTTACTGCTCCAGGAACTGCTTATATAATGAAGTACATGTTAATAAACTAATGACAAGTCACATCTCTCTATGCATGACACAAGTTTCTCTTTAGGAGAGTGAGATGTATTTTTGGTTGTAAATACTGTTTTAAGGCACATTGGTACAGTACATAAATGCGGTTTCCAGAGGTTAAAAAAGGAAGTAAAATTCAAATATTCACAGTAGTCTCTTTGCAGGTCCAATTGTGCCGTTTCAGTCATTAGGAATTAAGCAGCAAACACATTTACATCGAATTAGGCTCCAGAGGAATTTCAATCACATCCTCCTCAATGATCTCACCCTGTGGGAACATGGGAAGAGGAGCAGAATCATCTTTCTGGCACGAGAGATCTGTGAAAGGGCTCAACCAGGCCACAGAAAGAGGACCTCCGAAAGCTGACTTTATAGCTTCCCAGGGTGAAGTCTTCTCCCATGTAGGGTCTTCACGCTTCAACTTTTCAATACCCTGCAAAAAGAAAAAAAACAACACATCTGTGATTCTGTGTCTGTTATATTCGTGAATTATAATCCACATATGCATGGAAAACAACATCCATAGTGCCAAAAAACATACATTACATTACGTGAACGGAAAAGGAAAGCAAATGGTTACCACCATGGTTAAAAGAAAAAAAGAATGGGAAGTGATTTATTTTATTCATGCACCTGCGTGTTTAAATGGATACTCCACCTTTTTTGGGGTTACTCCCCCAGCGTAAAACTGTTGAGTTTTACCGTTTTTGAATCCATTCAGTCGATCTCCGGTTCTGGCGGTACCACTTTTAGCATAGCTTAGCATACATCATAAAAGTGGACAAGACCATTAGCATTTCTCAAAAAAAAAAAAAAAAATGACCAAAGTGTTACGATATTTTTCCAATTTAAAACTTAAGTCTTTTGTAGTTACATCGTGCACTAAGACCGACAGAAAATGTAAAGTTGTGATTTTCTAGGCTGATATGGCTAATAATCTCATTCCTGCGTAATAATCAAGAAACTTTACTGCCGTACCATGAGTGAGTGCAGCAGGCGCAATATGACGCAGCACCTGAAAATAGTCCCTACCTTGTTAACTTTCAACGTGGCCGGGACTAAGTTTGTGTAGTCATTGCGCCTGCTGCACTCATGTTACGGCAGTAAAGTTTCTTGATTATTATGAATCAGAGTATAGTTCTAGCCATATCAGCCCAGAAATTCGCAACTTTACATTTTCCGTCGGTCTAAGTGCACAATGTAACAACAGAAAATTTAAGTTTTAAATAGGAAAAATATCGAAACTCTTTGGTAAACGTTTTTGATAAATGCTAATGGTCTTGTCCACTTCAATGATGTATGCTAAGCTACGCTAAAAGTGGTACCGCCAGAACCGGAGATCGGCTGAATGGATTCAAAAACGGTAAAACTCAACAGTTTAACTCTGGGGGAGTTGTAAAATAAGCCAATTTCCAAAAAAGTGGAGTATCCCTTTAATCTTCAATAAGAGATAACCCAATTGGAAGAAATGGTGCAACTGTCACTTTATGAAAAAAAAAAAAAAAAAAAAATCAAGAACACATGAAGCATGCAGCATGCCTTCACAGCATGTATCTATTTTTTATAGCATGCGATCAGGCAAAAGGCACATCGAATGTGTTTGAACGGCCTATATATCGATAGCAATCAAGCTTACCTCCATCACACCAATCAAACAGGGACATCAGCCTGATTTAATACTAAACGTAATTAGTTGTTTTTAGATTCATTTTAATTCCCCAAACCACAAAGGCTGGACATTTCTGAGCAAAGGAACCATTCATAAGACAACACGAAAGAATAAAATAAATTTACTAAGACTGTTTTGGGGAAACTAGGTTAGTGGTAAAGACAGAGAGGAAGTGGACAGAAAGATACAGATCAAGCACATTTGAAAACATTTAGAGCCTTTGAGAGATTACAACACAAGGATTTTGCAATGCGAATAGAATTTCAGCTGTTTAATTTCCTGTAATACGACTTTTCAGATGGTTGTGCATTTAAGAAATTCAATGTCAGACACTTTAAAAGTGATTACAAAGCAGCACTAATGACCAAGTGTTTCATGTTTTTAATTCACCATTTGACAAAGAAGAACAGAATGATTGTCTTTTTCATACTTAAAAGTTCAAGCACATATCATCCGTTCATCATAACAAAAAATGTATATTTATAAAATGTAAAATATATGCAATTAACCAAAACAATGGCAACAATGGTAAATCAATAAAGTTGTCAAAAACACAATTTATCTTTCATGTAATAAGCCATAAAAGATATAAAATATTTTCATATACTGTATATAAATGTAGTTGATCTTATGGTCAGATTCCCACAATTTCTTAAGCCTGTTCCTTTCTTATACATTTCTGCAAACCATGTTTATGGCAACATACCAAGTAAATCAGCAATTCTGTTCTGTAATGGTAAGTGCTGTTATCACTTTAATTGTTATGTATAACAGCAAAAGTACTCATAATATCTCAATGCAGAGTTTGTACATTTATAAAATAATTATTGAGATGGAATTATTTTCACTGTCATAGTTTAGGGGTGTAACAATGATCTGACACTGCACTCATTATGGAATTTTTTATTTAACAATATCCAATCTACGTGTTCAATTCTGTGGTACATACATGTGAATGCAAAAACTGGTGGATGACTTTGTCAATATTCAACTCAGTATGAACCGTACCTTTGGTTACATTTATTTTATTAGCGTTTCGAGTAGTTCTAAACAAAAAAAAAAAAAAGTAATCGAACCAAATTGAGATCAGATGTCATGACTACATCATTTAGTAAAGGATCATTTAGAATCTAAGCTTTGTCAGAACAAATATTTACACCCCTATTAAATTTCCTATATTTTTTTCATAAAGCCAAAGTCCATAACCCATACTCAAGAGATAGTTCACCTAAAAATGTTATGCTGTGATCTCATGTTATTCCATACAAACTCAAAAGACTATAGTTCATCTTCAAGTCCATTTTCATTTTTGAACTACTGCTTTAAGGCCTGATCACACCAAGAACCACAACAATAATTATATTAGCACCCACAGCAACAAATGATAATTCTGTTTATTATAAGTGCACATATGTCATATGCCGCTACATTTTTGAGCTGCTTAAAGTCATGTGGTTTCTGATTGGCTGTCACTGCTGTTATAATTCATCACTTGGAAAAAATTAATAATTCTGAAAGTGATTCCAACGATATTGTTCCTCTATGTCATGATAATGATACAGTAGTTGTGGTGTGGACTTGCCTATTCTCCTAGTATCACAATCAGGGCTTGATATGAACTCTATTTCACTTTGGTGGTTTGAATTTTACATAATGAATACATTTTTTTTTCAATTGCAGTCTTTTAAAAAGGCATCTGAAATAATAAACCAAGTGTGTAGTGTTGTCAAAAATATATATTTTTTGATGCATATCGATACTGAAATGCTTTCAACACTAATTTTCGCAGAATAGATACACAAACCCGCCTCCCCTCACTCACTCCTTTCATTTGCTCTGGATGAATATTATTGCTGTTACAGGGCTTGAATTTTGGTGTGGGCTGGCTCATATTGCGCATAATTTTACTCATTGCCCCAGATTTTGGGCTCACACTCAAAGTGCCCGCACATAAAGCCGTCTCTCACTGCTAAATTGAGTTCTTTTCTGCTTCTTATTGCGCTTAAACTGTCAAATAGACACAAAATAATGTCAAAATGCCAGTCTTGGTGAGTATTCACGTAAACAGTCAGTTATGTTTTAAATAAACCTATACCGTTGATAAAGACATGCATGTGTAACAGTATAATGGATCCGGGTGTCAGGTCTTAAAGTGACAGCAGCCTAATGTACCTGCTGTCAAATTATGATATAATATCTATATGGAAGTTTTACCTATGGAATCGATGTCAAAATTGCGGCCAGTGAAAATGTTGAGTGGCTAATAACTTTGGAAAACCTCCAGCCACGGTGGCCGGCGAGAAAAAAAAAAGTTAATGTCAAGCCCTGATTACAATGGTTATTAATATCGTTATGGCTATTACTATCCTTGGTGTAAAATGTCTTGTATCAATAAGAATTATAATCCTTTTTAGTGAATGGTTGTCAGTGCTCTTATGCCTTTAACCGGGAAAAAACATGGTTTTATATCATAGATGGGTATAAGGAATTAAATGAAGGTTTTTCAGAAAGTAGGTTATCATTTTAGCAACATTCGGAAGAGATTACAATAGTGATTATATTAGCATAAATTGGCTTCTATAATCTGCACATCATTCATCTTTATTTCAGTGTAGCTAGGCAGGGATGCTTGAGAGTATGACATGAAGCTTCCACTTTCTGTTAATTCAAATAAATAAGAGGCAAGAATGACTGGATATGCAATGATTTGTTCCCTGAAGAAAAAAAGGAAGATGAAGGTGATTTAGTCTCACTGGTAAATGCTCCGCTCAAGTCCGGATTAATTAAAAGACGCTCTTTAAGGGCAGTCCAAGTGCACTCGAGTCTCTAGCTTAAAGCTTCCTGAGCTCAGACCACATACTGGTAGGGGTCGGCTTTCCCGTGTTCGGGTGTGGAAAACGGGCTAAACCATGCTATCGAGAAGGGGTGTCCGAATACCGCCTTCATGTTCATCCATTTTGTTTTTTTAGCCCATCTTCTCTCTTCCTTTTTCAATTGCTCTATGCCCTAAAAACAAGAGATAACCGAGACTTCAGAGTGTGTGAATATTACAAAACAAAAGAGGAAAAGAACAACTGACCCATTCCATGAAACAGAACTGTAACCATATTTTCATCTTAGATTAGATAATGTAGTGATTTTCATAATGAAAAATCATGCCAATAAGTTTATGTTCAGAATAAAATACTAGCATACTTATTTTATAAAAAGATGCATTTGAAACATTTTTAATACAATTTTTAGTAAAATGCCTTAACTCAACATTCAAATCAAATTAGGATTGAAGGCAGTTGAGAAGGTTAAAAAGTACATCTGATATTACTTCAGGTTTATTTGTCACACTAGAAAAAAAAGATCAAATTAAGTGCATTGCATTTTGGGATGATGGTTCACATATAGTATTATTCTTGGAAATATTTTTATAATTTCTTTTTCTATAAATATATGCAATCATTTTAGTTCATTCCTCAGAAAGGAAGGTCAACTTGAATGCATTGGATTGTGGAAAATTTGCTTACTGCACACAATATACACTACCATTCAAACGTTTAGGGTACGTATGATTTTGTTATGTTTTTTTATGTTGTTTAATCAAAAATAAATTAAAAAAAAAATTCTTTCCCAAAAAGGGTGTTTTTTGGCCCCTGAGACCAAACGGGGCAGAGTTGGGGGTGGTCATTATCAACTTGTGATGGCCCAACATATAAGATACTAGGAAATAATAGTGAAAAAAGGTAGCAGAAAACATGCTGAGGAGTGGACATGGCTCCTGGCCTATAACAGAACAAAGCTGGATGCAGGTCACTATTATATGTACGAGAGCGAGCGTGACTTTTTATTATTATTATTATTATTTTATTTTATTTTTTTACAAATTCTCTTTTTGTGGTCCATAAAAGAAAGAAGGGAATTCAGCATTAGAACAACACCAGGGTAATTAATTTATGAGTTAATTTTTCACTTTAGAGTGAATTATCCCTTTTAAGTGTCACATGATCCACCAGATATCATTCTAATATACTGATTTGGTGCTCAAGAAACATGTATTATCGATGGTGAAATCAGTTGTAGTGCTTAATATTTTTTGTGGAAACCATGTTAAATTTTTCCAGGATTCTTTTTCACACAATTTTCAAATTAAAAAAAACAAAACGTTCTAATTAATGCTAATGTCTTTACTGTCATTTTGACTAATTTAAAGCACCCTTGCTGAATAAAAGCATTACAAAGATTGAACGGTAGAGTATATACACTGCAGAAATAGTACCCTACAAATAGTATGATAGTATGCTATTCTGAGCAGATGCTAAACACCTGCATTTATCAAAGGCATCTAGTGAACAGTTTATACATGTAGTCCATCAAAGAGAATCTAATGGCAGTGTGAAATAGCAATCTCCTTAGAATAAGTTTTTAAGGATCTAGTTGCATCTTTAGCACAGGAATATGGGTTTTGTTTTCCAGGTCAGCTGTTAGAAATTCACAAGATCATGTGTTGTGCAAGAATGTTGCCTACAGCACTGGACCATTTGAACTCATGTATATGTCACATGTCATATGTCACCATCTGACAGTATATTTTAATAATAACTAGCAAATAAAGCTGCACGATTAATCATTAAATGATTAAAGCATCAAAGTGATTTTATTCCTAGATGATCATATCTTTTTGTCAGAACCTCTAGTAACTATTTTGTTTAGTTGTCTATTCAGAACCCTAATCTCTATTTTAAACAAAATAAATTCATGATTCTCAATTTATCCAGAATCGTGCAACTCTACTAGCAAGGTACGGTACATAAAAATTAGCCAGCATGAATGCATGTTATCTATTCAATACACAATGACCTACTTATTTCTTTCTTTTATACGTGTTACATTTCACTTCAAGCACAATAGCATTTTAGATACAACTCTCCACACATTAACCTAAAAATAACAGCGCATATCAGGCCAAAAGCAGCACTACCTCCACCACATTCGCCCACTGCCTAAAGGAAGCGTTCTCTTACCGTCTCATCTGTGCAGATGGAATGGATTTGGGTGCCAAACATCACAGAGGTGAAGATGAGGAAGAGGAGGGCCTCAAAGCACAGGAGGATGAGGAGGATGACAGTGGCTGGAGGGGAGAAGGAACTGCACTCTTGGGTCAAGAGGGGAGAGGGAACACACACACACACACGGCATTAACACAAGCTATACAATTTAGTAACACATCTATAAATTATTTGTAACTAGAAGAAGAAAAAAAAAGAGGGTTAGCGGGCATCTAGATTTGCATGTGCAAACTGGGACAAAACACGGTTGGAAGAATCTAAACAGAACATCTTTTAGCTAAGCTTGGTTAGCAACATTCAGCTGACCTGTTTGAAAACACTGATTACACTCTTTGGCATATAGGGATTTCTCTGATAATGTGGATCTTATCTGTAAGAAAGCAAATCAAAAGCTATTCTAAGAGCATTTTCTGTAAGTCAGGTTCTGCAAAGAGAGTTTATATTAGTTTAATTGAGAGTGTTTTAGGGTAACATAACTGTGTGGTTCGGACGAGTTGCATCTCTGAATAAAGTAAAATTACAGGGATGATGAACTGAGAAATTAAATTTTATAAGAATATCATCATAATATAAGAATATCCTGTAAGTTTCAGAACTAAAAACGTCCTTGTTAGTCCAATAAAAGCTTTTATTGACACCAGGCTCAGCAAACAACTCGTTTTTCAAAGTGGGGAACTATGACGTCAAAGAGGATAGACCAACGCCTACTTCAACACGGCCGGTTTAGCCCCGCCCACCGCATAGCTAAATAACATAGACCTAGCTACCTTGTAATGACAAAATGGATTGAGAGTGAAACTCATAATTTGCAAAACTGTTATCCACTCACAGCAGTGGGCGTTTACTTCCAAGTCTTCAATGCGAGTGTTTTTGAGCTAAGCTCAAAACTAGGGTAGAAAATAGCCTATTACTTACTCATTTTGATGGTTTTTAATGTAAAAACCAAGCGAACATCATAAGTTGACCTCAGACAACAATATAATAAAATTTAAAAAGCCAGTTCACGACCCCTTTAATGTTAAACACAGGATATTTTTTTTTTAATAAAATGTCATAAAAGTGTCACTGGGGCGGTGGTAGTAAGGCTAGCACACGTCCTCGAACACATCGAGCTATGGCGCTCATCTGTGCAATCGGAGTTTGAATCTAGCTTTCAACTTTACATGTATACAACTTCCTCTTCTTCATTATCTGCCCTTTGACCACTCATTTATTACCAATAGAAGTGGCATTACATTTCATCTAAATGATATTGATTGGCCGGCATAGCAGCACTTCCCCAAGCACACAGACTATGGTCTACTTTTATTATACATTTATGGTGCTTTTGCATCCTTTTTGGATATTAAAACTGTTATTTACATTATAAGTGAATATAAAAATTTCCAGCATATTAATCACAATGTACTGGAAAGACATATGTAACTTTGGAATGAGGGTGATTAAATGACAGAACTTTGATATTTGGGTGTACTGTTGCTTTAAGAAGTACTGGTTGGACTTCTGCAAATGTTGGACTTCTTTTTTCCCAGTAGACAACATTCTAAATTGCATGCTTGTCATCTGACCCTGTCATCTAGAGGTCACTGGGGGTCAAGTTATCGGTCTTGCTAACAATAGCCTGCTTTTCTCACTCACTTGTCCAGTCATCTTCAAAGCAGTAGAGAAAATGAAAGACCACCATGACCAAGGTATGCAGAGAAATCAGGCAAATGTACATCTGGAAAACACATCAGAATCAACATTAGATGTTTTTTTAGTGCTGCTCTCAAAGAATCTGAATGAAATATGGAATTGAATCCTTAGTGAAATGATTACAATCAAATTCATATTAACACAGGGGAGTAATTCACATCTTACATCAGAGAATCCAAGATATACTTCTGAATCTTTGCAACACTTGTAAAACACTTACAACCTGTGGCTAACACAACTCTGTTTGTGGTATTTATAGAAGTGTGCAGGATGAGACTTCTTTTAAAACTTACTGTGAAAAGCACAAAATACTTCTGGTTATTTTCCCCGACACAATTGTTCACCCAAGGGCAATGATGATCCATCTTCCGTACACAGCGCTTGCAAACACTAAAATGAGTTTGAAAGAAAGGTTGGAGAGAGAAAAGAGATGAAAAACATGGCTGACCCTGTGATTATGCGTCTATATGTCTCCATATGTTCCTCTCTCACCTGCAGTGGTGAGCTCGATCCGGCTTGATACTGCTGCACTTGGGACATTTGTAAACCACCTGACCTGGCTTCAGCTGCAGGCTCTCGATGTACTCCTTAGTGGCGTTGCCCTTCGGCACGGCTCCCTAAGAAACCATAAGGCAACTTCAGTTACGTTTTAGGGGAGACGGGGGCAGACATAACAAAAATCTCTTATAGGGTTAGTTCGTTCAAAAAGGAAAGTTCTGTCATTATTAACTCACCCTCATGTCGTTCCAAAGTCTTTTGTTTTTAAGTTCTTTGGAAAACAAATGTAGATGAAATCTGAGAGCTTTCTGTCCCGCCATAGACAACCTACACAACTGACACTTTGAAGCTACAAAATAAATAAAGAGATCGTAAAACTAATCCATAAGTAGTCTAGTATAAATAGTCTGAAGTGATACAAGAATGAACCTCACTGGTTCTTGTAGAGTGCATAAAATCCTAAACTTAATCTGTTCATCATGTAAAGTTGTCGAGTCTCTTAGGAAAATTTTGGACTAAACCACTCAATTGTTATGGATTAGTTTTACCAGTTCTTCATGAACTTCTTGAAGTGTCAGTTGTGTAGCCGTCTAAAGAGGGACATAAAGCTCTCAGATTTCATCAAAAAGATCTTTATTTGTGTTTCGAAAATGCACGAAAGTCTTACGGGTTTGGAACAACATGAGGGGGAGTTTTTGGGTGAACTGTCCCTTTAAATAGCAAACATGCTACAGTGATGACATTTATGCCCGATATTTTTATTCTGCTGTGTAAAGTTGGCACCGTCTGAATTTAAATGAATGTCTATGTTATTTCTAGGTTGTAAAAGGGGATGTTGTGGGCCCCTTTTATGCTCATTTACATGTTAATAATTCTGTTTACGCAAACATAATTCTGTTTACGCCATGTTGAGATGAATTAATGTTCAAAAAATATATTTTTTCTCATAATTTACATTGTTGCAGCATTTTTTCACTCTTTGTGTTGTCTTGTCCAAATACCCACACTTGCGGTCTTTACACTTGACCACTTGTCTGCAAGTGTGTATAGAACCTTTGATTACTCGATGGGACACATTTTTAGTCATACAGAGCTTTTATTTATCATATTTGCAATACTTTATACTTTTAAATAAACTTCTACTCGTCTGTTCAGTAGTGAGTATGTTACTAACATACTTCAAGAATTTCAAGTGGCCAAGTGTGGGTATTTGGACAAGGCATCTGAATGCACTGTTTTAATTTGTTTCTTTTTTTAAAAAAAATCCACCTTCTAGAAAGCATAAGCTGCTCTGATTGGTCAGCCTGTCGCTAGTCTGTTGTGATTGGTCTACTGCTGTCGGAAACACCCTTACCATAAACATTAATGTTATGTTGTTTTTTAATATTTTAATATTATAATTAACATTTTGATTATTATTAAACCAATAATAATAATAACACACATATTAAGTGTTAATTAAAAGTATAAATTAAATTATATTATTTTTACTAATATGTGATATACAGTGCTATAATTCCCCCTATTTAATGTATAAAATTCCCTCATAATGGGGATGTTGTCTCCCCAACCCAAAGGCACCATGAAAGCATGCATTTATTGCTTTAAGTAAAACCCACCGGGTCTGTGCACATGGCTCTGAAATGAGACGCCAAGGCGAGGAAGGCCAGGCTATTGAACAGGGTGCCGTTCACCAGGCTGTAGGTGAGGTTATTCGATGGAATCAGCATGAGGAACAGCACGACAAATTCAGCAAAGAAGACAAGAAACCAGGTGATGATCGCACAAACGATGCCGCAGGCATCTCTGATAAACCACATGTTGTTCTGTCGCTCATGAAAGGGAGGAAGACACTGTGCGGGATGCTGGCCACCGGCCTGCCTCTCGACGTCCCTAAAGCGCGGCACTGGACTTCTCATCCTACCACAGAGAGGCCATCCTGTCGGGGATGATGGGGAAAAAGGAGTCAAAGTTGGATTAAACGGTCGAATTTCATAGCAGTTTGTGCACAGTCTATTTCTTGTTCACAAATACAAAATGTTAGCAGAAGTATAGACGTGTGAAGACAGTGGATCACAGAAAACGTCCAAAGCAACAGCAAGATGAATTATAATTATTTTAAATAAGACAAAACAAGCATTAAAATAAGCTTAAACGAACATCTAAAAGAAATGATAGGCCTATTTCTTATTTAAATCATTCACTGACTCAACAACTGTCATTTTTATGTAAGAACCAGCATTCCCAGTCTTGGATAACCTCATAACCAACCTCATATATAAAAAGTGTGATTTCTAGACATGGAAGATTCAAATTAATAAAATGATAGATGGATGAATGATTTTAATTGATAAAATTGTTCTAGTCATGTCAAGCGCTAAAACATTTACTGGAGTGGAAATAATTTTAAAACCATCTCATCACAAATTACTAGAAAAGTCCAAATTAGTGTAAAAGTAAACCAAAACCCTGGAGTCATTTACCAAATTAACATTTAGGCCCTAATTCTGGAAATTAATAATTAGATTTTTTTTTGTAATGTTTCATTTAATTGCTTTAATATATTTCCACTAGCTTCTGTAAATAAAGTTAGAAAACAAGCAGTTTTAGAGCTGAAGAACCAGATATAATTTGTGTAGTTATTTAATTAACTATTGTCTTTGATAATTGTGGACTTGGGAGTCAAGAAGCTTGAGATCCACTGGTTTAGGAGACACAGAAGGTCATATTTTGTGGACACAGCAGTATGGGAGCTGCAGTCTCACTGATAAAGTCACTTGAGCAGAACCAACAATGTCAGTAGAGGACACACTGTGGTAGTCTCAGTCTTTTTTCCCCCTGTTATGGCCCAGAAATCAATACTACAACCAACTTTTATGCCTACTGATGACATTCCTATCTACTTGAGTCCATAATGAGGAGAGACAGTCAAGCACCGTTCAAGAGTGGCATACATTATTTAGCATTATCATTGTGCGTTTCAAAATCAACATCAATAAACAGCCAAAAATCTGGTTTAACAAGCCAAAGCAGCCGAAACAGGACCTAGTTCCACAATGGCGTAAATTACGCACTGACTGTGCCAACTGCCAAGACACATCAGCAATAACATATACAGCATCCAAGCGCACTGTTGATCATTTAATTAGATCTCAATGGAATATTCATGATAGATAATAATAACACGATATTGATTGAATAACACTGAAATAATTCAGCCAGCTGTGTGTAGAAACCTGCGTTACCTGGCCATGGCGATACTCACATATTTGGCGACATTGGTGCTCCTCGCGTTTGCTCGCCCAAGCAAGGCCGAGAAGATCCAATGATGCATGGATCACACTAACAGGGGAACATGTTCCAGGTTAGTTTTAACACAGTAAAAAGTGGTTTACCCGATTAATGTACAGAGGCTAGTGAAATGCTGCATTTTTATGCGGTGCCAGCTCCTCCCTTCACTGGAGAAACTGATAGCCACACCTCCCTAGCTTACACTGGAGGCGCAACTGGACCACGATCCGAAATGGAAACCACTTCCAGACAATTAGACTGCTAGGCGTTGCCAAGGATAGTGAAACTTGAGTTCTTTTAGTAGAGGGCGCTTCGAGGCTCTGAACGAAGAATGTCCCATTGACCCGCGTTCAAATCTATGGTTGTTTTTATACTATTGGATATATGTTGTATGAATACAATTATAATCCTTTAAAACTGTTACTTCATAACAATTGAATCAGATACACAAATGCATTTCATCTCCATAACGTATTGTAAAATTACTTTTTATTGTAGCCCTTTAAGTCATCATAAACGACTGTGATTGGTTCGTCTTTTACAGCGGAGAGAAAAGTAACAGATTCCTCGTGGTAACGCCAGAGAACCCGCCGCGCATGCTGGTAGCCATTCTAGCCTCTTATTAAATTTCTGTATATTAAATCGACTCAATATATTGAGTATATTATGTGGGCCGTTGATAATGCATTGCATTGTTTTGGTGAAACACAAACAGCCCCATAAGCATAAGTGTCATGAAAAACATAGTTTGATTGTGTGTTTATAACATAAATAAATCAATCAATTTAGTTCAATTTAATCGCTAATTTAGAACTGATGCTAATATATACTATAGATAGATAGATCTATTTATTTATTTATTAGAAAGAAAAAAAGTCAATTTTCAAGCATGGACTTTTATGGCTGAAAATTTAAAGCGTCCCTTAGAATTTGCGCAAAAGAGCCTGACATGCGGGTTGCCAGGTTGTATTCTAAACCAGGTTGTTAAACAAAATTATATTTTTTGATAAAACCGTACAGATTATTTTATTTGAATATGTAATTTTATTTAATATTTAAAATACAATATACAATACAAAATTACTGGGGTACAAATACAGAATCTGGATGAACAGGTGTGTATTTTTTTTTTCTTATGCAAAAACAAATGCAACAACATATTGGGTGTTTTCGTCATTTGCTGACACACAAAAAATATATATTACAAGTTTATTTATATTACATACATTACAGACTGTGGTTTTACCATGGTTTTTTAACCCAGGGCATTTATTTTGTACGACCAACCTGGCAACCCATGACACGGACTCCACTAGACCAGTTCCCTGTTGGTGTGACGTGAGGTGGTACAATGAAGAGACGATGGCTGCCTGCATCAGAGTAATATGGATGAGATTGACCGTCTTGACAGCCGCTATTCATGATGGTTCTGCTCTCCTAAACTCTTTCTTTGCCGAAACACACTAATCTCCCTGTTCGTGCCATCTGCACAGATCAAGTGTTGTATTTGCATCAGACTGCTAGCCCCGTGCTATGATTCTACCTATATCAACTCTCTTTAATTAAACTGACGGGTGAGTAACTAGATGGAGCTTCACCATTTTATAATTAATTTACCCATACAAGACATGTGAATGTAAACTAAAGCGAAGTAACCTCGTTAGGCAACATAGTTGTTCAGTTAGCTGGCTATAGCTAACATTAGCAATTGCTATTGCAGTTCACTTGCTTTCTTGATTGTTGCTGTTTAAGGTCAATATAACAAAATAATAGGTGAAAAAATTGCATGATATAATGCATGGATCATATTAGTTTATAAACCTCAGAAAAGAATATTTGCCAATCCTGCAAATAACATGTGTCCAAGGACTTAGTCATGAATTCTCTCAGTACCATCATATAATCCATATGTCTGGATTGCTAATGTTGTATGTCTTGAAATATGTTTCTACTTTGAAATTATGCATTAATACATCCCCTTTCCCTCTGTGCTCTTGATTTCTCTTCAGATATCACTCATAACATGGCCATTACACAGTTTCGACTTTTTAAAATATGCACCTGCTTGGCATATATCCTTTCATTCTTGAAAAGACTGATTTGCAGGTGGGTACAAATTTCGCTAACACTTTATTTTATAGTGTCATTTTTACATTTAGTTACTGTACTATTAATTGTGCATAATTTCATACAACTAACTCTAAACTGTACCCTAATAGAAATTATTACTCACTACTTAAATATATAATCACACCGTAAGACGGACACCTTAAAAAAAGTGTAACCTTAATTTATTTTGTTGAATTGTTTGCACATTTATCTTGTAGATTGTCAATCTGAACGAGGATCTAGAGTGTGTTTCTTACTCTGTGGGAATGAGTTTACTCTGCTACACTGTGTTTTGACTGTTGTCGTTTGTTAATGTAGGACTGGAAGGTCACGCAAACTGAGTGGAGATCAGATCACCCTCCCGACCACAGTTGATTATTCTTCACCAAAGCAGGTCAGAGAAAAATTGCTTGTAAAGCGATTAAAAGTGATCGTGAAGACTTTTACATTGTTACAAAAAAAATTATCGTTTTTAATATATAGTAATTCATTTAATATATAGTAATTCATAGTTTTTCCAAAAACATAAAAAAAATGTGCTTGTTTATTTTTAGAGCTGTAAAATTTATCGTTGAAAGATTGCAATCTCGATTCAAACACCCATGTAATATTATTCCTAAATTACAGCGATCAAAAAAGTCACTCAGCAAAAAAACAAAAAAACAAAAAAACAAACCCCAGCAAAATGTCTACCCACTGCTCTTGTTGTGTGTCCATGGTTTTCAGTGTTTCTGTTCACTACTCCTAATGGGTGGGCACTTGAATGGGTTAAATGCAGAGGACAAATTCCAAGGATGGTTTGCCATTTTTGGCCTTCACATGTCACTTAACTTAATTTGTTTGTTGTATGATTAAAATAGCCAGAGATTGAGGAGTGGAGCTCATGGGATGAGGAAGCTCCCACGAGTATCAAAATCGAAGGTGGTAACGGGATAGTTCCACCTCCACAGAATGAAGCTGAAGACGAAGAGCCGGACTATTTCAAAGACATGACTCCCACTATCAGGAAAACACAAAAAGTAGGTTAAATATTTGGGCCTGCTTCATTTCCTGCTACATCTGCTGCCATTTCATTGCCATACGTTTTCTTTTCTGTCCTAGCAAATGTCTTTCTCTTGCTTTCTCTCTAAAACTATAAGGATCATACATACAATTGTTTAAATATTTGTTGTTTTATTAGTTAGGTAAAGGGAAAATTAAAACCTGTTGAAATAGACTTTTATAGTTTATAAATTCAAGAAAATCTTGTGGTTTTGTGACTAACAGTGATGAAATGTTGTAGGCCTGGCGCAGTGGTAGTGCTGACCATCTCAATCCCATTTTTGTGTAATATATACACTACTGTTTGAAAATGTGAAAAAAAAAAAGTATATACTTTTATAATATTACAAAAGATTTAAATTTCAAATAAATGTGGTGCTTTTGAACTTACTATTCATCGTGGAGTCCAGAGGAATGTATAAATAAATACAATTTTAAGTAGACTGTAGAAAAGTAGAAAACAATTGTTTTTCTGTAATAATCAGATAAATGCAGCCTTAGTGAACATACAATATTTCTTTAAAAATATTTTACACACCCCAAAATGTGTCTATACTGTATTATTGATAATGCAGTATTTTTGTGCTCTTTTTCCAGATTGTCTTGAAGAAAAGGGAACCTCTGAATTTCTCTATGCCAGAAAGCTCCTCGGGTTTCTCCAGCCGACTAGCCGCCACTCAGGACATGTCCTTCATCCAGCCCTCTGTGAGTAATACAAAGTAACAATGTTAACACAGTTATTGTGAGACCAGAAAAATTCTTTATCTGACTGCAACCAACTCCATCAACGCACATCGCATTTTATTTGTTGTGGGCTGCAGGCAGAGCTGGGGGACATGGACACCTGGCAGGAGAACACCAATGCCTGGGAGGATGAGGCAGAGGCATCATGGGATGCAGAAGAAGTGCTAAGGTAAGGTGCATTACCAGCAGACAATAGCCGCGTTTCCATTACCCTTCAAATTGCGAATTTAAAATGCGCACAATGGTAACGCGTCAATTTCGCAAAAACCCTCGTTTATCGCAAAAAAGTTTGTTTTTTTGGCTGTTTGAAAAAAGGAATATTTCGCAAAACTGCACTGGAAACAGTTTTTTGCGCATTTACAGCCACCTGACTTAGAAGGTGCAGTGTGTTAGGACAGAATACAAGACCGAATTCTTTATTAAATTCACTCGCATACGGTCTAGCCGCAGAAGTTCAGACATTTCAGCGGATCCAAAGCTCAAATCCGATCCGAATTTTCCGCATACGCAGATGATTGGAACTCCCCGCAGCTCCCGTACGACTCTGCATTGGAAATGAATGACTTCCGGTCTGACGGATGTCGTTTGTCATGTGCAGTGCACTGTAAAAAATGTTTTTTTTTGGTGAAGTAAATACTAGTAAAAAAAAACAATGTAATTTACTTGAAAAAGTTAGTTCAGGCAAGAATTTAAAAAACTAACTAAATTCCATATCAGTACTTAATTCAAGCGAGTATAAATGAAAGTGTAAATATCAACTCAATAAAATTAAGTAAAAATTACTCAACTTTTCTGATACTGGGGTTCCCATCATGCACTGGACCTTGAATAATCAATGAGGCTCATTTTTCACTGGTTTCCAGCTGTATTTACACTGTTTTATCATAGATTTTTGTTGTCAGTATTAGTAAATTGCCATTTTGTGACATTTCGAGTAAATTTTTTGCTCAAAATGACACATTCAAACACAAAAACGACCCATCAAATGTTACCGCCATTGTGTATTGCCTACCAAGTATTGAGGTGTTTGCATTCACATGAGGCTTAATGTCTGACATGATGCACAGTATATATAAATTACTTAGATGATCTAAGTAAAGCACATACTATAAATGACTAATAAAATTCAAGATTCTTGTTTTAGTGAAATGTAATACAAAGGCAAAGGAAATCGGTATTAATCAACCTTTTACAAGCCGAGTTAAAATTACTTATTTTTTGTAAAGTTTACTTAATTCCATATTCCAAGTAAAGTTAACTTAAAGATTTCTAATTAAAGCTACTGATAAATATGTTTAGGTTTTTACTTGGAAAATCTTTGTAAATTTACTAGCATTTTCTGAGTGAGATAGTTTAGCAAGGTTTTTTCAAGTAAATCCTACTCCAAATTTTTTACCGCGTACCATGAGTGCTCCCTCTTGTGTTCGAGCAAGTGCAAGAGCGCGCTTGTAAAAATTGGTTGCAATCTGAAACATCACAGATAGAGGCCGCTAAAAAAAATACATATAGCACCTTTAAGTCTTTAACTATTACATATTTAAGTATTTGGTGCTGTGATAACACCAGAGTGAATTCAAAAATGGCTGTTTAAAAGATTTAAATATTTTTCCTTTAGCGCCATCTGCTGTCCGAGAGTGAATGTGCGTTTTCATTCAGTGGTCTCCTTTACTCATTCTGTCATTTTGCACATGTGTTTTGGCTTTGTATTGGTATTACTGTATATCGCACATGTCTAAGTTTCAGTTCTTTAGAAATCAGCTGAGCAGGTTATGTGTGTGCCTGGCAATTACACATAATTCACGCTGAGGAAAGTCGGGTGGCTTTCTGTTTGTTTTTGTCCACTAGGTGTCATTGTACAAACACAGATGAATTCAATCTGCACTGCATTGTGTCAGTCCTTGATTAAGCTTTACTTTGATAAATCATGTATCACATCATATTTGAATATATCATATCATGATTGTTGAGAGTTTTTTTCTCCCTCAATTTCACTGAAATGAACATGTCAACATGTCAGTTAACAATGATCTGTATATGTCTATCCTGAACTCAGGCAGCAGAAGTTGGCTGAGAGAGAGAGACGGTCCATGGAGCAACAGAGGAAGAAAATGGAGAAAGAGGCACAGAGAATGATGAAAAAAGAGCAGAAGATCGCTGTCAAACTTTCATAACATTAATACAGCGCACGGGACACTCAAAACAACAGCCAAACAACTGTTCATATTACATTTGACCTTGTTTTATCCTGCCCTCTGCACTTCTGTCTTCAACACTTTGGGATTTTTTTTTTTTAGTCCATCTTGGGATATTTTTTTTTGTTTTTTTGTGTGTGTTTGTGTCCTTTTTTTTTTTTTTTTTTTTTTTTGCATTGGACAGAAATCAGCACAAAAAACCTTCTCTTTCAGTTATGACTGTTCTTACTGTGCGCTTGATGAAAGAAAAAAAATTGTTTTTTTCTGTCAGTATTTATAATACTTGAACGATTTTTTCCCAGAATAATTTTAGATAAGGAATTCCGTTCTTTTTGGTTTTTATATTTTGCTGCTTTTTTTTTTTTTTTTTTTTTTTGGTGCTTTTTTCCCCCACCTGTTTTTCTCCTTATCAACGTCTTGTAACTGCTTTAAACACTGGACCTCACCAGAAATTGGTGATCTCAGTATTTAAAAAAAAAAAAAATCAACAATTTTATGCAACCTTGAGTTTCTGCTCTTCACATTCTATTTAGCTGGCTATCTAATCTTCTACCGTTCAGTTTACCTGATTATCGTGCTCTTAATTGTAAATAATCCTTAAAGACCTTATATTTTGATCTTTATGAAGACAAAAATGATTTGGGTCATCTCTGTATAGTTAATAATTGTCAGTGGGAATGGAGAACAGAGATGTACAGTGTGTACTGAGACTCGATGAGAGCGGATGTGGGTTGGTCGTCATGGAAACGCTGAAATTTTTAAGTATCCAAATTGGCAACCATACCATCTTTTATCTTTAGTAAGAGACTGTTACTGAGAAGACCATTAGCTGAGATAAACATTCACAAATTAACATTTTAAGGGATTTCACCATGGGGACAACTTTGTGTCTTTAACTATCAAAGAATTTCCCATTTCTTAAAAATATATAAATTGATCATGTTTTTTGACACAATGAGGATGATGATGATGATGATGGTGAGCTGAAATTAAACTCTGCATGCTATGATTATTAAGGAACGTGAAGCCATGAGAGCCACAGGTACAGATAAACAATGAAAAACTGAATAAAATCAATTTTTTTTTTATCATTTATGGTTCCCCCTCATGTCTTTTTAATTTGTTTTTACAATTTTGCATTGTCCAGCCTTAGCTTTAATAAACCTTTGGATGTCTGTTCAATGTTCAGTGGTTTAATAGTATTCGAAGGGTTTCTGAATCTCATTACTTCTACAACGAAACATTCTCATTGTGCTGTGTTAAAGATGTTTTTTTTTTTTACATAATCATGCCGCAATAGAAGACTTGATTTGTTCTGTTTGTACGCAGACTGTTAAACTGTAAACAGCATCATGAAGCTGTCATCATTTATGATGGGCTATTCAAGGTCAGACGCATTGTCCGGACGGGTGGAATATTCCAGCTCTGAGAAAGTGATGTCATAATCCCATCTGCCTCAGCGACGCCCCCGGTCGACCAATCCTCCCACAGCCTGACCCACTTACACAAAGAGAGGAAAATAAACTATGACTGAATTATACATTACATGCTGTCTTCTGCAGCTATGCGCATCTTTATCACACTGTCTTGGGTTTTCCATGACTTTGTCTTTGTAATCAAGACTTCTGGATCATGCTCATTAAATAAAATGTATATGAACACCGTTTGAAGATTTTATGCAGTAAAAATGCATTGAGAGATGAGCATATTAACAATGTTATCTTTTTCAATACATACATTGGATTTCCTCATTTCTTAGTCTGGAACATATCCAAAAGCTATCTGTATAGTGTCTTAATGGGCTGAGAACAGCAAGCTTTTGCTCAGTCTTGACACTTCATGCATGTGGGGCTGCATGTTATGCAACAGTCAAGTCCCATCTGGTAACAGATTTACTGTGTGTTCTTCTTCAGGCAGTCCAGGGTTCCACGTCTCAGCTTCTGAATGTAGCAGTGCTTAGGTTTCTATACTCCATACATTTTATATTATACATATCACATACAATGTATACATATTATACATCTATATTATATTTGTTTGCGTCTTTGGATTCTCCATTATGGGGACCAAATGTCACCACCATTTAGTAATAAATGTTGACCTTGTTGTTGGGACATTGTTTTTGTCTCCAAGAAAATAACCTTCATATCCCCAAAACAGCATGTAAATCATTAAGAATTATCTTTTTTGAAAATGTAAAAATGCTTAAAAAAGTTTTCTGTGATGGGTAGGGTTAGCGTAAGAGGATATAATATACAGTTTAAAGTGTTTGTTGTGTTTTTCTATCCCGTTGGGGACTTATCTGAATGCACAGACTCTTGTGGACTTGTGTCACAGACAGTGGGGACCTAAATTATGGTATTGAGAAAAGTTATAAATCTTTATTATTATTATTATTATTATTATATTATTTTAATTTTTTAAATGTAAAAATATTTTCTGTAATGGGTAGGTTTAGGTAGGGTTAGTGTTAGAACAGTTTGTACAGAATAAAAATTATTACATCTATAGAGAGTCCCCTCAAAGATAGTGAACCACCAGTGTGTGTGTGTGTGTGTGTGTTTGGGTCTTGGGCAGGTCTGTCGCTGCCTACAGGATTTATCTTAAAACAAATGACAGTTTATAACCTCTTTATGGTTGTTTTGTCAAGTGAGAGCACTTTATGTCAATTTTCTTTTTATTATTTTATAATTATTATTTTACTTCTTGTTATATTAAGGTCATAGTACAACTGTCTTAAAACGTCTTAACCTTATTTATGTTTTATTTTGATTCATTTTTATATTTTTGTTTTTCAAACTAATTTCATGCAAATATTAAAACCCATCATAAAATGAAATAGGAGACATGATGCATGAAACGTAAATCATTACTTGTATACAGAATAATGTCTGTCATTTCCAATCAAGGGGAAAAAAAAATAAAATAAAATGTGTGTGTGTGTGTACACACAAAATGCTGTAGTTATGACATTAGTTGGCAAAATTATTTGATTAATATAAAAATATATAATGCTATTAAACACAATATTGGAAATGCTATATGGCATATAGACATAACATTTTGGTTTGTTAAAATATTGCTTTATAACCAACTAGCTTTCTAAAGAAACTTAATCTTGTGAACAGCAAAGAATTAAACAGCGCTAATCTAGGATTAAAACTAATCCCGGAGATTAAGACTCACTTTAACTCACTTTTCTGGGAATTAAACCTTTTTCTCCGGAACATAACATCACTTTCATTCTTGGGTTATGGACATTTCTATTATATTTATTGAAAAATATATAAATATGAGATGAACCTGAAAAACAGGCCTAAACAGTTTTTGTATTTTATGCATCAATTTAAGAAAATCTGCAGGATTTTACTTCTTACAACAATACTACACTCTTACTGGTAGCTGAAAGCATGATGCAAACATTTATAACAAGCTAACATGCAAATGGTTGGGGGATGTGTAGTGAATGACAGTCATTAAATTATGTAGGATCAGAACCTGTTGTGGGCCTACATACTAATAAGTTTAGACAATACAATAAAAGACCAAACTTGAAGGGGTTTTCCATGCTTTAATAATAAATATAATATACATCTGATAAACAAAAATATTGCACATATAGCTCAGGCACATAACAAGTGTTTGCTGGCAAATGCTGCCTTTCAGGAAATGTCAGTTTGCAACATGTGAAAAGCTCGAACTCCAAGGAGAGAAAATACACTTTCACTTAACACAAAAGGTTGAACACATTTAAGCTTTGGCAGAAGGTTTTGGTTCTTTTGGAACACAAGTGACATTTTAACTACAACAAAAAACGACCGTTAACTGACAGTCAACCCCTATTGTCACTGCAAATGACTATAAAAAGCAGGGAATAGCAGTCAGCAAAGAACAAGACTTGAGCAACATAACCACCAACATGATCAGATTCTGCAAAAATATTTATATATTTATACACACAAACATAAGGGGAATAAATAACAAAAAGAAAAAGACAAATCAAGTCCCTTTATAACCTTATAAATTCAACCTTTGTGCCTCAGCTGGGAAAAATACACAGTGCAAATTAGGAAAACTAAACAGAAAATAAGTGTATGCGTATAATCACGTGTGCAAAAACACAATTTTTACTTGAAAATAAAGTTTAAGTGCTCTTGTTGTAGATGTGGGTGAGGGCTACTAAGTGTCTGGCCCGTGAGGGACATGGCGGAGTGAGTGCAATCCCACAATGCAACAGCCTCGAATCAAAGCTACAATGTTGTACACTGGAGCCCCTCCGACCAAACCGTGCTGCGAGTAGAGCCACGCCACGGTGGGCAGCACGGGTGCCGCCACAGCAACCAGATCCACCAAGAAGTTGTTGCTCCAGTGGCTTTTCCCAACCACTGAGGTATTCTTTGAATTCTTCAAGTCGAAATTCAGCTCCTCCATGAACTCAGGACTCATTCCGGGCTCAGAAACACACAGACCGGAATCACCAGGAGCATTCTGGGAAATGTTGGTGCAAATGAGGCCAACATCTTTGACTTCTTTGTCTTGTGCTTCAGGCGACTTCTCCTTCTTTATGGGGCTTTGTGCTTCTAGCAAGTCCTCAAACTTTTTGGGAACCTGTTCTGAAGGTAATCCCTGGGATTGGAGGGGAGAAGGAATAAGGAGGCCAGAGAAGCCACCACCCTGGAGCTTTAGAAGTTGGAAAAGGAGAGCTTGGAGATCAGCGGTGTAGATCTCATCCGTCTGGACACCTTTCTCTTCTGGACCAAAGGGGTCGCTTGAGATATGCTCCTCGGTGCTCTTTTCCGAGACGCTCGTCTCCAAGGTGGACAGTCCCGGTTGGGGAATGATCTTGGTCCCACCGTCCTGGCTTGAATCGACGGCAGTGGACATGAGAACCTGCTCCAGAGTCTCTGCTCTGTTGGCCATCTCGTCATTGGCCAGCAGCTCACTATCAGCCATCTCCTCCTCGTCATGTAGATTCATCTCCAACTTGCCAGCGGTAGATATTTCGGAAGACCCACAGATGAAGTCTAACGTCGGCTCATCCTGCAAGTAGCAGCCATTCTGCGCTAGCTCCATGTTGTGGAGTAAGGACTCCAGTTTCCTGTTTTGGATGTTTATGTCGATGAAGTACTTCTGGATGCCCTTGTCCTTCTCCACAAGGCTGTTCTTCATAGTTTCCACCACTTGGCGCAGCTGCTTGATTTCTTTGCGTGCTTCTTTAAGAGCCAGCTGAGCTTCCACACGGTGACATTCCTCCTCTATCCAGTCCTCCCGCATGCGCTCCAGTTGGGACTTCAGCTCCTCAATCTCAGTCTCCCTGTAACCCATCAATGTGACATCAGTGTTTGAATTGTGTCAGAGCTCTTGAGGGATTTGCAATTAAAACCTAATTTGTTTCAGTTTTAGTTGAATAACTTGACCCCAATGCTGACTTTTCTTGCAGTTTTACTAGAACATAATCATGCAATGACTACTAACTAACATTAGCTGAATATCTAACTGTTCTGAGGTAAAAAAATAAAATAAAAAATTTGTTCTTAAAGAAACAAAATGTAAGGTTTTTTTTTTTTTTAGCTTTTAGTATCAATATGTTAGCCTTAAAGTTATGAATACGCTGGTCGCTGGTGTGTTCCAAAACAAAGACAAAATTTGCATTTAGGAGATATAAGCATTCAAAAGTTACAGTCTCTCACTTCCGCAAAAATGGATCACGGATTTTATGACATCACATCTTCTGTCCAATCAAATGCTATCTTGAAGCGTCCCACTCCCTATGCTATAAATGAAGAGTTCAGATGCAAAAGCCTCTAAATGCCATTTGAAATTTTCTTCTTTAATGATGATTTTTAGCAAACTTGTATATTTAAGTTCAGTAATTTCACTTAAATGGCAATGATAATTACCTATTAATTGTTATTTAAGTGAAATTAATGAACTTAAATATACAAGTTTGATAAAAAAATCATCATTAAAGAAGACAATTTCAAATGGCATTTAGAGGCTTTTGCATCTGAACTCTTCAAATATACTACCAGGCCAGCGACCGTTGACACAACACGGAGCAATATGGATTGGAGATGCGTGTTCGGTTGCTCAAACACTCGAGTTTTATTCCGAAATGATACGAGAATGAAATGAATTTATTCACACCTCTACTATGAAATCCGATTTATCATCGCTTCCATGGAGCTGTCAAGTACGATTTGCAGTTTGTGAGGTAAACTAAACGCTATTGGCCATTTGAAAAGGGGGAGGAGCCATTCAATATGTCCCACCTTAGCTTCCTGTTTCAGTGAAAATCCCATCAATTTGAACAGTGACATATTAGCCCATGTATGTCAAAGCAGAGTCTTACCGGTCACAAACCGTGTTCTGTGAGTCTCTGAGCTTGGTCTTGAGGTGTCGTATGGATACCTCTTTCTGCTGTAGAGGGGTAAGGTACTGCTCTGGATTGGGAGGCTTGATGCCATGATTGTCTCCGCAGGAATGGTAGCGCACAGGAGTAGTTCTTCTGAAAGTAAAAACAGGTTTACCTTTTTAAAATGTATAATATGATGAAAGCTACAGCAAGAGCTTAAGTAATGGCCTGTTGAGTCTGTAATCAGTTACTGTACATTTACTATACAGTACAGTTACTATCAGTTTCCAATGCAAAATCTAAAATATTCAAGCTTTTCTAATTTGAAAAACTTCATAGAGCATTACATACACAGCCAGTGGTTCTCAACATGTGGGCCGTGACACAAAAATGGACAGCAGAGTTTCTTATACAACGATGCAACTCGCTTAACTTCCATAGTACGGTGCATCACTAAAGATAGCTCAACTAGCTAGTTAAGACTGTTTCCCGAAACTGTATCATCGCAAATTTGTAGTTCAACCACGCCGGTTAATTAGGTCACACAGTTGGTGGAGTAATAACTTCTTTTAATGAATCAGTTTGAGATCGAATTAATGCCAGATTCTTGCCATGAATTACGGACATGGCAGTCCACGTGTAATTCAAACAAGAAACTGTACTTGACAGGTCGAGAGCTGTCGTTCCAACCACACAACTTTGCGATGCAGTTTGTGAATGTTCGTTGGAACGATGGTTTCGGGAAACACAGAGTCGTTGATCTATGCGGATTACGTAGGAACTTGCGACCATAGTTGACTAACGATGCTTTTGGGAAACGCACACCATGGTCAATAGAGCAAAAATCATGCATTAGACAGCAAAATATTCAATTAAATTATGAAATGTATAATTATAGAGTTTACTATTTTGCAGTAAAAAAAGAAAGAAAGAAAGAAAGAAAGCATTAAAGTAAAGGCTGGCTGACTAGAGGCACAATCTCCTAGCAACCTGCTAAGTTGCTTTGAAGTCAAATTTGCATCTGCGCCAGAGATGGAACAATAGAAGAACAAACAAGGACTCAGCCCAGGCAGGCATTACAGAGCACACATTCTGTGCTTGGATAAAACAAGAATCAAAATGGAGAGTGTGGGTTATAAAGATAAATAAATAAATAAATGGAAGCAGTATTTACCAGAATGACCCAGAATCACTCCTTCGGCAAGATTACATACTGCTTTTTTTATCCTCTATCCCATAAAATGGAAAGTTCAAAATCCAGAAACACCACATCATGCTATTAACAAGCAAAACGACACTCCCTGACTGTGCATACTGACTGCGCACACATTAAATATTAATGCCCCCCTCACCCTCTCTACAAACACTTGGCACTGAAAAGCACTTTACTCCCATCAGCCAGGCAACAGATTTGCAGTCTGCGTGGGCAAAATGAGAGCAGACAATTTTGTCAAAATCCCCACAAAGCCTCGCAGAGCCAAACCGTGACCAATCTAATCCTTTATTCTGTGAGGAGTTTGGGGACACGATAACACAATTTCTGTATGGTGCCTCAACCCTCAGCCTCCATTCTGTCTGTTTGTTGGTTTCTGCCCCTGGTTCATACCTTCTGGTAGAGCTGGAGTTGGTACTGCTGTTGGTGATAGAAGGGGCTTTGAGGGGCATCCTGTATGGGGCATAAAGCTCTGCGTCACGAGAGGCGGTGGGGCTTCCCGCGGGCTTGAACACAGGCAGGCTCCTGATGTGAGGCTCACGACTGAGGGAGATAAGAGCAAGCAAATAGGACAGGACTGTGTCATAATAGGCAAGACACGTAGGCTATGTTTGGAATGAAAAACAACAGAATGCATGGACCTTACTGCTGTACATTTGCCAAAATGTGGATCATGCTTTACTTCTTTGCCATATGTACACCGTTTACTGAATTTAACATGCATGTAATGAGATCATGTGACAACAGTTTAATGCACACGGTTTTAAACATATTTTAAAAAAGGTTGTTTTGTTTGAGGGAACATGTAAAATTGTAAGACGACTTGGATGAAATATCCAATCGTAGAAAAAACAAAACATATATCAGCCATCTTGTATTAGGCTACAGATCCAGTGCATAAAATAAAGCATATGCCATACCTGCGAGAAGATGGGATCTTCCCTGTGGAGTTGCTGGGCAGAGTTTCACGTGTCTTGTAACTTCCAGTGCTGCTAGATGAGCTGAAATCTGTCTCACTGACTACAGTGCAAAAAAAAAAAAGTTTAGAGATCAAAAGTTTAAAGTTTCCTCTAAAAAAAAAAAAGAAGAAAAAAAGAAACTTCAGTACAAATTTTCCATTCAAGGACATCCAAACAAGACGGTGTGGAAGTAGAGACTTCAAACCTGGCAAATGCACAACCCGAGCAGATTACCAGTAGCCAGATCAAAGAGGCTTGTCAGAGGATATAGGGTTACACACTCCCGTGACAAACATTGTTTGCATCCATTATGGAAGAACTACAGCTGGGAAAGTTCTTTCACATTTGATTTCTCTTGAATATCACCTTAGCTGCAAACATTATCTTTTCTATGTAGCTTTAGCACTTAGACCACTGTTTCTTCTTTGACAGACATTCAAAAGTAATGTATTCCATCTTGCAAGCAATATATTAATTGCAAAAAATATATATTTTAGGTTTTACCAGTGCAAGTATTCTTAAAAGCATGACATATTCTTATATTTTTCCCTGTGTCCTGCAATGAGAGTACCTGGAACTTCCAATGAGATGAAGTAGGAACGCGAAGAGATAACTCTTTGAACTATATTAGATATCCTTATATAAGATCAAGACATGTTTCAGATAATGCAGTATATTTGGAGAAAAAAAAAAATTAAAAATAACTTAACCAAGCATTTAATTGTAAAATAAGTGACTGAAAGAAAAGGAAAGATCATGTGGCAAGGATACTGGGGGTAAGATAACTCAAGATCTTAATTTTGTCTAAAGTGTCCCCAAAAAATATACACACCTGAGAAGCATCTCTTTCCTTTTGACAAAACCATGATAAAGTGTACTTTTTAAAATGTGCTATCTACCAAACTAACCAACTAAATAACCAAACAAATGTGACAACCTCACGAACAATCACAAAATTGTGCAGTTGCCCAATACAAATCAAGCTCAAATGCTGTGAATTCTCACAAGCAGTGGGAGGAGCTATCTACTTTTAATTGCACTGATTGGCCATCTACAAGCAAACCAATCAGTGGCCTCAATGAAACAGGGTAATCAAGCTAATGGCACCTGCAGCTTCCTGGATCGTTCCCTCCAATTATTTATGTCTTCAAAGTAAATACATCAGAGAAACCCAGTCTCAAGAACATCTAAAGGGATTAAACAGGCAGGTGTGACCATCACATTAAATGCATTCATTATCATACTTTCAAAATAAGAAACAAGGAGATAGGAAATAGAACTGCATGTGTTTACATGTTTGTGCTTGCATCCCAGTGGACTTGCATGCTTGCTCACAAGCTGATAAGGATTTGATGCTCAAACGTTCCTTGTACTAGTCGTGGTTGTTTTAGTGACTAACCAAATATTAGCTTTCTAAACCCATTCATTCTAATTGTACATACTTTTCTGAATGCAGTAAAACATGCGGTTCTATAAACATTCACTCAAAGCATGATTATTTGGCTTGATTTTATAATCATGTAAGTCATATCTATCAATATATATATATATTTTTAAATTCTGATTGATTGTGAAGTGTCCATGAGCATCAGAAAGGCACTACACTCTAAACAATGCTGAGTTGTTTTAACCCAAATTTGGGTAAAATATGGACAAACCTGAATGTTGGGTTAAAAATGGCTGGGTTATGGTTCAGTTTTGGGGTTTCTGGTTAAAGGGTGGTGTCGATATGGTTAACTGAGAATTGGTACCAATAATAAAACCAGATTTGGCCCAGTTCAGGGCAAGTTAAGGGTGATTAACTGGCTGAGATTCGGTCCAGTTATGGCCCATGTATGACCCTTGTCTTTAATCCAGTTCTGGGCCACTTTAGGGCCGTCATTCTTTGCTGTACTTGGGCAGATGATTGGGTTCACATGGTTTGGGTAAGATTAGGCTGGGTTATGGCTCAGTTTTGGGGTTTTTGGTTAAAGGGTGATGTTGATATGGTTAACTTATGGCTGAGAATTGGTACCAACAATAAAACCTGTTTTGGCCCAGTTCAGGGTGATTAACTGGCTGAGATTCGGGCCAGTTATGGCCCATGTGTGACCCTTCTTTGATCCAGTTCTGGGCCACTTCAGGGCCATCATTCTTTGTGGTAATTGGGCCGAGGGAAAAGTGATTGTGTGGACACAAAAATTTGCTATGTGGGATAATATCAAATTTTCACTTTCAATTGTAATTTTTTTAAATTGCATTTTTAACCCAACATTTGGGTTTGTCCATATTTGACCCAAATTTGGATTGAAAAAAACCAGCATTTTTTATAGTGTATATCAAATATAGCTTAATAATAATTATTCAAATAGTTAACTTTTAGAATATAAAAAGTATAATTTAGCAGAAATAAAATGACCTTTATGCATGATGGAGGCAGGCTTTTGCTTCTCTCTCTTGTGCTTCTGTGTGGGTTCGCTCCACTCGGCCACTACGTTCATCCGAACTCTCTTCACTTGGACCGTGCGCTCTCCCAGAGAGGGTGAACCCATTGGACTGTTGTCAGAGGCCGAGAGGGTCTTGGTTGGCGATGCACATTGACTGCTTGGGCATCCAGTATCATCTGAGAAGACAGATGCTCCACAATGATGTAACACGCATTTAAAAGTTATGCTATAGTGCTTTTCCTTATCGGAAAGGTCAAGAGCACTAGGACAACACACAAAATCCATCATACAGCAACTAATGACATTTCGGTGGTTATTTATTTATCTAATTCTACATTATACTTGGAATAAAATTCCCAAGTATCCTATCAACCTCATATGGCCTACCAGAGGACAGGCTGTTTGGGCTGATGGTTCTTTTCGAGTGCTGGGAGCTAAAGTCAAAATCCTTGCTCTCCTCTTCTGACAATGGCATGTTGGACACCGATGACTCCTTTGCTTTAGTACGCAAGGGGTGGAGGACAAATCGAGGGATACGGCTGCGCATGCTTCCCTTTCCCTTCACCTGCAGGAAATGGAATATTGAGAACTGGTGGTGCTACGATTACATAGAGACAAGCAACCTACTGTACAGCCAGCATCCGAGGTGAGTTATTTAACCTTTTTTTAAAGCTGATGCGTCCTTAAAGTTATGTCAGTGTGCAATGTAAGTTTTGCATGCATGCCGCTTGTCTTGCTGTAAGGGAAATGGATTTGGGAAGGAAGAAATTTTTAAAGTTAAGAAGGTAAAGCACCTCATATATCTGCAAAGGTCCCATTCTTCTTAAATAGGGAATACTTCAAGTAAAACTGTAAAAAGAAGAAGAAAAGGAATCAGGTTACTTGAGCATGAAGTGATGGTATGACAACAAGCAAACCAGAAAAAGAAAGAGAACAGTGTACAAAATTAGGTCAGACCACAAGATTGCAGGCTGTTTTAACCCAATTCATGAATGGCTCTATAAATAGAATGAAGCTTATATGTCTGAAATTGAAGTATGATAAAGTATGATTCTAAATTGTCCATAAAAGACAAATGACCCCATCAGTCAAATCCACTAAATCTAAATTAATTTCACTAGTACTTGGAATTTAAACTGCAGGAACTCTTATTTTGAATTAATCCAATGCTCTTATTTAACATGATTCATTTGACGGTCAGTGAATTTACCGAGTGTTATGTAAAAGGCTTTGCACTTTGAGAAGGAAGTAATATAGTCAATTTAATCCTTGTCTGTTTTGAGAGATGATAAAACACCACCCTTCTGGTTAACACTGCTTTGGGTGTTCTAGATCTGCTCATAAGTAACGGACCAAAACAGCTTCTGAATCATTTAGTATAACGCATCACGCTTGATTGACTATGACATCATCGGTCCATTTCCTGTTGTTAATAGTGTATGTGTGACTTGTTTTTCAGTATCTTTTTGATGTTGGTTATGTAAGGGTTAGAGTTGCTTTCAATGTGGATGACGTAATTGACCCCTTGAGTTTCACGCAACGATGCGTTCTTGCCTCTTTCCATTTTGCATCCGGATGCCATGTTTCATTACAAAAGACCTTTTGTAGGTTTCCCATTCCTTTCAGATATGGAAAACATGTTTCTTGATTTTGAGTATCTTATGTCACTGCATTTTTATAAATTGTGAAGTATTAAGGCACTTTAAAAAAAAATAGTTTATGCTTCATTTAAAGAAAAAAGAGGTTTTGTGAACTGTTCTGAAAATGTACACTACCAATTTAAATGTTTGGAGTCTGTAATATGATTACTGATACAAAATATTTATTGAGCAGCAAATCAACACATTAGAATGGTTTCTGAAGGATCATGTGACACTGAAGACCGAAAATTCGGCTTTGCCATCACAGGAATAAATTGCATTTTAAAATAAATTAAAATGGAAAATACTTATTTTGAATTGTAATAAAACTTTACAATATTACTGTTTTTTTTACCAAATAATTGTGTATAGCCTTTGTGAGCATAATAGACTTCTTACAAAAACAATAAAACTTGCTAACCCTAACAAAAACTTGCCAGCCCCAAAACTTTTGAACTTTAGTGTCGATTTTTTTTTTTTGCCTGATTCAATTAGCTATCAAAATCTTTTGACTGCCACCCATGGGAACTAGACTGTTCTCTCTTGGATCCCAAGTCAGAGCCTTAGCAACACAACCAAGCAACACAGAGAAACAGAGCCTTTAAAGAAGCCAGATAGTGGTCAGTGAGTGACATAGGCAGCCATTCACTTAACTGATGTCTTGTGTCAGGACAAGAAGCTTAATGTTTTTACTCATTGTCAGCCTAATAGAAAAGCTAGTTTCAGCCTGACACAGTTAGAGGTTACTGATGCAATCTCTCTTCAAACCCCTTATCCATCTTATATGGGAATGGAATGACTGGCTTGAGGTGATAAACAGGAGTGAAGTCACAGTTAGATGCTTTAGAGGACTAATGACATATATATATATATATTTTCAATGAATCACAACAGCTTATGTAATGTACTGCTCATATTTAATTAAGAAAAAGGAATTCATGCATAAAACATGACAGTAAAAATGAACATCATCTTAGATATTATTCTTTAGCCTTTTTATATTTAAAATATACTGTAAATTTGAAGTACTTTTTAGTTCTGATATGCAGAAATACAAGTAAACAGTCTGTCCTCTGGCTACTAACCTTTAGTCAACACAACACATTGAGATCTAGAGACACTTTAGTTGCCTCAGCACCAGTGACTCCTCATTCTGTCATTAGTCCTCTAAAGCAACGATGACTCAATGTTATTGGAGACAGAGAGTAATGTGCACAAATGCATTTGCTACTGGGTTTGAGTGTTTTCTCTGCTTACTTGTTTTAGTGTTGCCATTTGAGCTCGACTAAGACATTCCTAAATACAGACTGACAATGTACATTAGTCAGTGAATACAAATCTCAGCAATTGCTTTTCTCAGTTGCTTCTCTTTTAGTCTACACACTTTGCAGTATTCCATACATTTATAACTGGCTGCTTTGTCCAGCAAATGTGAAATCTCTATTTCCGTTGAGAATTCTGTGCACTCTAATACTTTTTGGTGATATTTCGACCAGCTTTTGAGAAATATATAATGCAAAAAATTTTGCTTTGTAATTTTAATGTCAGTTTCCATTATTCACAAAGAGGATTCTCATTATATTTTTTTAATGAGTTGTTGAAAATAAGAATTTGTTCTCAAGTAACTTGCCTGGTTTAATAAATAAAGGTTAACTTTTTTAGCACACGTTATAGTGTTTTATAGCGTTCTGTGACACGACGTATTTTTTTTTCTTTCCGCTTTCCCACAAAGGACAGATGTTTTATATTTGCCTATGTTGGCTTGCAATAATGAATCTCAATTAAAACAAAGTAAATTAAGTTAACTTGACAAACGTTGACGCTTCTGCCCCAACAGCAAATATGCATCAAAACACGATTTAAAATGAACTGCTTTTCTAATGACTCAATTTTATTTTATTCCTATTGTTTCTTCAACATAAACATAAATCTTACACAATGCGTTAAACAATAGCAGTGTTGTTCAATGCATTTGTGTACACTATAACAGATTTAGAGCAAACGTGTTGAATTGAAGCTTCCGTACCGTATGTCTTTTTCGAAATAAAAATAGTTATATCAAATAATAAATAATATAGGCTATACCATTCTTTTCGTTAACATCTGTTCGTAAAAAACCCCGCTGTGGAAAACAACATTGTGACGCAGTAAGTAAATACACTTGCCTCGTGAAGTGCTGGATGGATTCCTGTGAGTGAGAGTGAAGGATGCGCAGCTCCGTTTCCCTTTAGAACAACACAATGCGCGCTCTCGGTCCTCTGCTCTTGTTTTGATCTGATGTGAAGGACTCTCAGCCTCTGTCTGCGAGCGAAGCCAGATTATTCCGCACAGCACATCTCAGTGCATCAGTGTATGTGCTCAAGCAGAAGAGACTGAGGAGATTGACATCGCCAGTACGACGTGAATGTTCCGAGTGTGTTATGTAACGAGCAGCAAGAATTAACTCTTATGTGCCCGAGTGACATTTAACAAGTCGGTTTTATTGACGTGCACGGTTCACAGGCTAGTAAGTAGATGACAGTAGTCATTTGGCTTAATGTTTATCAAAAGTGACTAGAAGTCCCATTGTTTTAGGGTAGTGGTTAGTGGATTGGGTTTGAGTCTGACCTGCAACCATTTGCAACCTGCAGGCTTGTTCTTTCATCACGCCCCATGGTGTTTTTATTCCTCTTTATCATAGCCAGTTTTATACGGAAGCGTGTAAAACTGATGACTATAAAATGGAAACCCCTTTTTAATTTTTGGAAAATAAAACAAAAAACGCACTAAAGAAAATAATTTTGTATTTCAATCAAATAAATATAGCGGTCTCATTCAGTAGGCTATCAAAATGATCAACATCAGAATGAAAACTCAACAAAACGTTTAATAGGGTAAATTACTTGTTGGTTATGCTATAGCCTATATATATTTCCTTTTTTTTTTTAATACCAAACTAAAAGTAGCATACTTATTTGATGTATGCTTCAAATTAACACTTACTTACTGAATAATTCTCCATTATTCCTTCAAATGGTTTAGGATGGAAGGCTTTCAAACTGACATGATAAAAAGTGCCTAAGTCCGGGCTAGGAGATGAGAAAATCAGCTTAAGCTGTTTATTATCGGTATATGGTTCTTACTGACTAGCACTGCTGACAGAAAAGACTGAGTGCAGTTGAGAGGAGACGTCG